CCCCGCCCCTCCTCTGCCACCCAATCTTCCTCCACCAGCACTCCCCACCGCCTCCCCCGCATCCCCGCCTCCCAGCCCCGCCAACGAGCCCCAAACGCCTGGTCACCCACCACGGCGCCCTGGGCGGACGTCGGGCCGTCCACGGCGACTGCGGGACCCAGTACAGGCGGCGGCGTCGGATCGATGACGGTGTTTGGCATCGGGGGGGGTGGAAATGGTAATGCAGCGGGCGCGAGCGCGGAGTCGGTGGTCGATCAGAGGAGGCATAGCGTGCCGAGGATGCCGAGTGCGTTGAGGCATGTGACGAATAGTGGGGGGAGTGGGGGCGGAGGCGGGAATGGGAATGGGAATGGGAGTGGGAATGGAGAGGTGACGCAGTTGATGGGGACGGTGGGGTTGGGTGATCGAGAGAGGAGGACGAGTGGGAGTGGAAGTGGAGAGGCGAGGGAGGAGGATGTGGAGATGCAGGACGGGTGAGAGTAGTGATGAGTCGAACGAGCCATGCACAACGACCGGAAAACCATCGAAAGGATCGAGGGTAGAGAATTGGAGTTTGCGAAAGGTGAAGAGAAGCAGAGGCGAAGCTTCACGCCTCGCATTATGGATTACACACGATATCACGTCCGCACGAAGTCATGTTTTTTGAATCGCGCTTCCCTCCGCCATAGCGAGGCGAGGTGAGGCGAAGTTGATACTTTCAGCATTGTTAGGGAACAGCACCGCAGGATCACGTCGGTGTCTGTCGTGTTTACAGGTATGCAGAGATGGGGATTTTCTGCTTTTCTAAGGGTTTCTTTATCTGGTTTCGTTGGCTCGGGATGTTGCGAGCTTTGAGGAATGAGGCTGATTTGCGGCTGGGAGATGTTAGGGGCAGGAGGTTTCGTAGATGATACCAAATTATGAGTTTGCTTTGTTGCTTGACGATGCGGTCGCGAGGCTTGGTTGGTGTTCCGTCATTCGCCCCTTTCGAACCTTTCTGAAGCCCACATCGACGAGAGGATCGGTAGCGCTGTCCGAATCAACCGACACCGGAGAAACCAGACATGGTTTCTGGAGTTTTCTGCAAGAGTGACCGTTTCGAGGGGTAATTGTCCACGACCCACGACGGAAGAGGGGCTATTAGCAAAGAGTTCCTCGATCGTGACGTATATCGTTGTCAAATGGACAGAATATCCCGTGTCTTAGAAACACATCTCCGCCGCCAGTATCTTAGATCGTGCAGCGTATTCCATATTAACCATGATTTCCACGTGGATTCCACCCGTGTCACTCTCCCAAACAAGCGAAAAACAACCCCCGCAGATACAGTAATAATTAGTGCCCATTTCCAATTTTCCATCAAGCCATCTCTAACATCCCACATTTAAGCCTCGATTACCCGAACCGAACCCCATGAAATGAGTCAACCTCCCGTCCGCCGTTTGTCCCAGCGTTGGAGCCTTTACCCCATCGTGACCCTTTACCCCATCGTGACCCCTCGCAACCACCTAACCATTACCTTATACCTAGGTATTCATACCCCACGATTACTTGAGAGAAACCTCTAGTCTCCCGCCTCTTGCTTGATGCTTCATTGTCCCCATCTATCCGCCTCGGACGGACTACCGCTCGGTTGCCGATGCGTGACGTCCTTTTGCCGAGAAGGAAATTTTGCTATCACGGTGGCTAGAGACGGGTTTCCGGCTGTTCCTCGGAGATAGTGGAGGTGGATTGGGAGATAGTTGGAGGCAAAGGTAGTAGGTTGATGGTCCTGACTTTATGAATTACGACACGATGGATGGGAATTAGGGAAGGGAGTTAACTATGGCGGGTAGGACCGCCGCATGCTGTATGCAGTTATTCTTTAGGAGCCACAATCTGGATTGCGGGTAGAGCCGAGGGGGCTAAGGTAGGGTACCAGTACCTGAGAGGATGGGGGGACGTTCAGTATTTTCTTGACTTGAATACGTTAATAACTTCACATGAGACTAATATGTAGGAAATCCGGGAGAGAAAACATGTCACCAGCAATATGACGTTTAGGGCTAAATATAATCGGTCTGCGGATGGATGGTTCCCACTACGACTTTGGAGGCATTTGCAAGCTTTAAGAAGTATAGGTACTCCGTTGGTACCTATAGCACTGACGAAGCATACGACTTTGTATCAGGGTGGGAATTGCTCACATCATGCAACAGGGTCGAGCAAGCATCTTTAGCAGCCCAGCTGGCAGAGAGTGTCACAGAAAAGCTCGATAAATATAAAATCAGAAGCGGTGGAGACCATTCAGGAACGCCCGCATCCCAGTCCACCCACGGGGTCGATCCATTGGATTTTGATGCACATCCGCTCAACCTCGCTTCATGACAACTTCACAAGGGATATTAAACAATGTCGAAGCACATTTCACATTTTACAGGCATAAGCAAAACCTTCTGTCATCGTAACTCTCTTTTGAGGTCTGTGACACCGCTGGTTGACTCAGGTTGAGCATTTCTCAGAGCACGCCATCCATCGCCATCGGCTTTAGCATCCTCAGCTGGAGGACGACGCTAACGATCTGGAAACGCTGAGCGACAGAATGCTGTATCTCCGAAGCTTCCAGTCGCAAATGCGGTGTAGATGATTCTCGATTCGCACAACTCGGGCTCCCGACGCTGGCGTTTCGATATCGCTCCTTACCCTCTCGCCCTATCCCAAGGAAGCCGATCCCTTCCTCCTCCGGCGTGAAGGTTGACCATCATCCCAGCGCTCCGGGTCCGACCTCTTCAGCCGTCCTCAATTGCCCACATCGGCTCCGGTGTGGCGTTTGGTGGCATCTTTTCACGAGTTCGCCGTGCCCGGTAGCGGTAGTCTCAACATGAACCGCATCTGTGATTCCAGATTTCAGATTTCAGATTTTTTCTTTTTTTGGCGGTGATGCTTCGTTCTTGCTAGGGCGCCACATCGAATCAATGTGGAGCGGAAAGATCCCAGGTTGCAGGGCAGGGACCGCTGCGGCATGCGCACTGACGACAAGTGCGCAGTGCATCCGATCATATATCTGTGAGGTAATGCCATTATGTAACTCGTGATGGTTGTGCAATATCCGCAGCGATGATATAATTTTTCGGTTTCCAGGAGTTTGGTAATAATTAGATGACACAGAGATAGGCCGAGTTCAAGGCAGTGCGTGTGCATGTGGAGATTTTTGCGGCAGAGGCGGTGAGGATTATTGACGGTCGGCCCACCATCAAGGTGAAAACAGGGGATTCAGGGGATAATGGAAAGTTGCTCGATATCTTTCGTTGATCATACATGGCCCTTGAGTGATGAGTGTCAAGTGGTCGAACTCGTCACTGTCAGGGGTAAAAATCAGTGGTGAGACTGGAAAAGGAAATAGAGGAAAGAGGGAGCATGATTCCTCGGTTCTATGTAGCGGTGGGACCAACAAAGGATGCCCACAGCGTCTAGTGTGTCGAATACCAAGTTCGACGAAAGGAAAACCATAGCTAGCAGACATGTTTCCAGCTCTTTCAATGAGAATCTGCTCGAGGACCTCTTGCTAGGGAACCTCGTAAACTCCTGTGTATATGCCCTCGGGATAGGAAAATCGGTACACATCTAATAGGAAAATCAACGCGCTCAAACGCATATCGTAGCGCTCCCACAACTGATTCGGTAATATGAGCGCCTCAAATGGGGTATTTCAGAAAACACATAGGAAAACCGGAAATCTCACGGCTTTTGTAAACCGGCACGTGGACATCACCCATCACTCCAATCATCATCCCATATAATGCTGCCCCTCTCCATATCCGCTGTGCGCCGCCGACTGCTGACTCGACTCCGACTCCTTATCCTTCTTATGCCCAAACTTCGGCACCTGAATCTTCCAATCATGATAGCTCACCGGCACCTTCTGCTTGCTCACGCTCGTCGCCTTTCGCTTCGTCCGCCCCGCTGGCACGTACTTTGGCCCGCTCGTCGGCGCCGGCACGCTGTGGTTCGAGCTCCCGCTGCTCGACACCGCCGAGTTCAGGTTTGGCTGCGAATGCTGGGTGCGGAGCCGCGGCCGCTTGTCCTGGTGTTGGTCGTCGCGCTGGAAGATGTCGAACGAGCGGACGCTGGCCGCCACGATGCGCGAGGCGCGCGGTTGGTAGACGTCCGACATGGTGGAGTCGGCATAGCCGGCGGAGGCGGAGGTGCGGATGGAGGCGGCAGAGGAGTGGGTGCTGGCTTGCTCGCTCATCTCGCCAAGGGCGGTGCCGGCGAGGAGGTCGAGACCGGTGGGGGTATTGCGAGGATGGACGGTGGAGGCGTTCGCTGCCCGGTCCATGCTAGAATAGGGGTGAGTATTCTGAGAGCCCAACGGGGTGGGTGGGTGGTAAGGCGGTGGCGAGCCGTACAGTGATTCAACGATGGACGCAGGACCGCGTGGGGTGTGGTACGGAGTCTTCTGGTACTCAGCGTCCATGCTGTCCGGGGACAGCAGAGTGGTTGTGGTGGAGAAGCGGCTTTTCTCAAGGGGATGGCCATCAAGTTCTAGGTCATCTTCCCAGCACGACTCGTCTGAATTTTGGGCAGCGGGTGGAAGTGCGCGGATCTCATTCCAGCTCAGCTCGTGCCGTTGCAGAGCGATGAACACCGCTTCGCCAATGCCTTTCAGCGCTGCTACGCAGTTGTCGCTTAGGAATGTATGTTCCCATATTTGCGGCTCCAGGTAACGATCTTGGAGCCGGCTCAGAGCCCGATCTTGGGAACTGACACAATATAACGGCATCCAGTCCCGGCCTTGGAAGACTTGAGCGAAAGCCGTGGTGACGCATCGGACAAAGGTCTCGCTTGTCCTGTCCTCAAAGCTCAGATGCTGGTTGAGATTCCGCGATGAACACCGGCGCTCGGCAAGAGTCCCCTCTTTAAATGCAAAGCTTTGGTGCTTGCTCGGGACCAGAATGATATGGGCACTCCATTGCTGTGGTTGTTTTCGGTCTATGCGAAGCGGGAGCTCTGATACGGATGGCAGGGTTATACGCTCAGGTTGGACTGGTTGGGCTGTGGGTGTGGCTGACTTTGACCAGCGTCCTGTCTCGAGTTTGCGTTCCAGTTGCTCTAATCGGTCCTCGAAGGTGATATGAGCCTCATCGATAAGGTTCACTTTGGTCGAAATGTCGTTGATGCCATTCGTTCGGTCGACAACTGCCTCAACCCGATCCTCCAAGCTGACATGTCTCTTGTTGAGGTCCTCACATGCCAGCTCTACGTCCTTCGCCAATCTAGTCCACCGTTCTTCCAAAGACTTGTCCACGTAGAACTTCAACTGGGTCATGTTCTTGTACTGTCCCATGACCTGCTTGTGAATCTTCTCCACTGCCTCTAAGCTCCTCTGTCGCTCTTCCTCCAGCTGCCGATGGAGCTGCTCGACTTTCCCAACCACGTCGGCATAGTCATCAGCGGAGACTGCACTACCCGACGGATTCGTCTCATGAACCCATGCCTGATGTCCACATCCGCACTTTGATCCTGGCACCTCCCTATCTAGCACGAAAGACATGCATGGACACGGTGGTCGAGGGCCCGATGAGTCTGCTGGATACACGTATCGACATGATCCGCGAGGGAGCTGTGGATCTGGGCTCGCCGGTTGGATTCGTGGGAGGTGGACCAAGGTTTGGGGATAATGATTACCGGACATCTAGAGAAGACGAGACAGGAGGCTCGTCAAGGTGATATCGATTCGCCGTGAAGAGTAATGGCATTGGACGGTTAGGTGTTCCGTCTAGGCAGCCAGAGACAAGGGACAATAGCGCCAGGAACCAGTGGGTTGGAAAGAAATGGCAATGGAGGGGGTATGCAGGATATAAAGCCGATCGTGGAACTAGTCAAAGCCATAGACGTGCTGAATTGGGCATGCCCCCAAATATAGAGGTCGCAATAAGAGACAACGAGCAGTGCGGTCAGCAGAGGCTCAGCGATAAGGTGAAAGCGATGAGTATGAGGTGTCCAGACAGTAAGCTAGGATGGGATCGACTAGACTGGGTGAGGAACGGGAACGCCCGCAAAAGTCGGTATGATTGGGCCGGGGAGGACGAGAGGACTGAACAGAGGACAAGGCGGGGATAAAGAATGGGTTGAAACCTTCTCAGTAGGGCCGAAAGACGAAATGCAAAGAAAAGTGGATGTGATCGTGGTGGAACTGGCGAAATCGGACTGTCCGTGTAGTGAAGCCGTGGAGTAAAGAGTGAGCGGCCAGTGGAGAGTCCTCAGCTACACCACGACTGAGAGTGGGATCGGTGTTACTTGAAGGCAAGGATCCGCAAGACAAAGTATGAGTGGGATGGGGGCAGTGAAACCGTATCAGCGTCTTGGAAAGATCAGGCTGTGGTTATGCCATACGAGGGCCTGCTGAGCGGCAAGGCGTCGTCGTTGATATGAAGGTCAATGATGAGATGGAGTGGGAAAATGGCGATCTTGGATTGTTGCGCTCAGACACCTGGCATTTGTTGAAACAGGTTGAAAAGACAAAAAGGAACGGAAAAAGGACACTTCAATCCATTGCAAACTCCAAAAGCCCCTCCGAACTCAGCGGTCGGACATCATGTCAATGACAGGTTGTAATGACGGTGTAACTTTGAAGTGGTCCCGAACATAAAACGGAATAATGCTCCCTGTAAGGCGACAACACCGCCACGCGGGTCATTGATTGCTTGAGAAATCTCTCGGAGTGCGTGCTTTTTGGGGGCCACCATGGGGCGCGGATGGCTTCGATGGGCATGCAAGAATGACAGAAACGTCGAGAATGGGATTTACCCTGGTCCGTAGGGGTTGAAAGGGAGCAGGGACAGGGCTCGCCCCGTGCATCTCTCTTGATTCCATTGATAAGACCACGAAATTCTAGAATGTCCCTGACCAGCCTCGAAGACCCCGGTCGCGCTGATAGATTTAAAACCATATTATCGTCCATCATGCCTCTGAGATAAAGGGAGATCATCTTTCGCTCCCACGGGTTATCTTCAACTCTCCATACTACCCAAATTGCTTTAGTGACTACCACCAGCTTATCGGCAAAGGCAGGCTCTTAGATGGCAGATGGCAGCTGAGAAGCAAGCCTGTACTGGTGTCATCGACTCCATAATCTGATCCAGCAGGATGGTGCTGTACTGGGTACATATCAGTACTCGCCTACTCGGGGAGGTGCTAAGCTTTCCGTGATTTGTGCAACCCGGGCACGATAAAGTTTCGCCACCAGACGGTCTGAAACTGGTTTCTGTCGAACTCTCGGATTGATCCTCGGTGCTCATAACGCACAACTTCGCAAGGCTCTGCGATTGTACAGATTAAACAGTGCCGCATACGCCAATGACGGAGGGGTCTGACCGATTCTGGCAATCTGAATTCTTATCAAATGCAGGTTGTAATCCTTGTCCCCACCCCCACAGTATCTGTGCCCACATTTCCGCCAGCCCAGGGACCACCGGCAAGGATTTGGATAACCTCCCCGCCAATCAGAATCTACCGGTCATCCCTTGAATGGATGGCTGCGAGCCCCTGTCCGAGGCTGGGGTCGTCGATGTATTGTGGTGATAATGTGTATGTAATGGTGTGTGTATCCCGACTTGTCTTGCAACTTTAGAGATCGCATCCGTGAACAGAATCAGTGCGAGCATTTATTCGCCGTTGTATAGAAACCCTGATATTCGATACTTTTACACGGTCGACGGCGTGGTATCGGTATCACTGGATGCAGGCGTGAAATCGGATTCAACACTGCATTGATCCTCCGACGTCATATTCCCCGAGCGGGCGGGAGAATATAATTCAATCTCAGTGGTTGGATAGGAACCAGATAGATATTCCAGACCCACGATAGTCTCACGCGATCACCCGGGAGGAATGTCGCTCGATGATAGCGGGAGAAAATCAGTGTAGAGCTGTCGATCTATCCTAGTAGGTCATAAAGCAAAGCAAATATTCGATACTTGCCTCGGAGCAGGTGTAGAAACGGTTGTCTCCTCCGCATGGACAGTAAATATGGCATGGGATCATTTAGATGGCAAGCCGTTGCACTGATTGGGAAGATCTTCGCTCTGGGAGGATCCAGCTCTATCGTAAAGTCTGTGTGGTAATTGAAAAGAGTTGTCGTTCCGATCCCCGAAGACTCCAACATGCTTGCATGTCCGCCGTTGAGTAGATCTTGTTCACAAAATTCCATCTCCACTCGTGATGTAGAAGACTAGTAAGGTCAGATATGTCTCTTGTTGGATTTGACTGCACCAATACTTCGCCTGCCGTATAGTCTAGGTAGGTTTTAAAGCTAGCCCCATCGCCTAGAAGATGGGTGTCGACTTGTAACGGTGAGGCTAACTTAAAGCGATTCGTCTGCATGGCCTGGGTAACACGAGCCTGGAGCAGAGATCAAACTGTTCCATTGGTGCCTCGACAAGAATACACGCTTGAGTACCACATTTCATCCATCACATGAAAATCTGTCAAATTCTCGGTCATATTGGCAACGTGCTATGCTTTTGACCTGAAGTTGGAGCCTGCAAGTGATAGGATCCGGAGGATGCAAGAGAACTGCAAAGTCCCGTAAACTGAGGATTTGGAATTATCATCCGGCGCGGGGTTCCAAAGACAGAGAAACGATCGGAGTAGATCCTATTGTTCCGAACCTCTACCGATTTCGAGCCGCATATGTTTGTCAGCAGGCGATGTCATTGATTCTAGAGTTGAGATCGGGAATGACGATTAGGATGAAAAGAGCTGGCCAGCAGGTGCAGAACCGGAGGAGGCTAATAACGTCAGTCAGCTTCAAATGGACCCCAGGGTGTTCTAAAAACCTAGTAGAATCGGCCATATCCCGCCATTATGTCTGCTTTTTTCACGAGGCCGTTTGATGGCGCGGGTCATCCAGAATATACCTATCAGAGAAGCGTCACAACGCCAACTTTCTTAAATGGCAGCTCTATCTTCCACGCACATTCTTCATTAGTTCAAGCCAGTTTCTTCCAGGTTTCAGCATCATTTATGATGCTGTGATAAGTTCCATAGATGGCCCGCTGGATTCCCTCGTACCCGACCCTTGGGCCCCTGATCGTTGGATCTTTGATTCTCGTCGGGGCTGAACAATGAGATGGGTCTTCCATGTTCCATATCTTGGGTGTGACAAAGGTCCCCTTTTCTGAAAGTCTCCGAGCTCTATGGCCTTCGCTTTGTCCTGCCTTCTGAAGAGCATCGCGAGTCAGTAGACCTTTGACAATGTAGCTGCAGAGGAAGCACAGAGTGGGAAGAAGGGGAAGACACCCTGATTTTCCTGTGAAGGATCTGTGAAGCGATAAGTGGTGAAAAGTTCTCTTTTCCTGTGACTAGAAACCGGATTGTAGTAGAGTATAAGAATCCAAACATGAAGTGAAGGAGAATTGACAGAAGGTCCGCAGCAGTGATGAGCTTCTACTGTGAACTTCTCGGACAAAAGATGATGAAGCGGTTATCGAATTACCACCAAAGTCTTGAAAACACGCTCAAAACCATGTTTGCTATCGTCGTACTGACAATGGACATGTAACTGTGAAGTTGGGATGGCTACAATAGACATGTTCGTTGCGCAAAGCAGGCGTGCCAGCAGGAGTCATGAAATCTCGAGATATGCAATGCAGTCCTGCTCGCCTACTGCCAAGTTAATTCCCTTGGAACATTAAGAAACATTGCACAATACTTATTACTTTGGTTAGGACGATGTGAGATGAAGGAGAGTTGATTTTGGAGGATTGGATTCAGGTTCTGAATCTCCAGTCTCACGTGCCTCTGCTGACTCCACCACATATGGTACCATATTATGGATACCATACAGCCCACCCTTAATTTCCTATGTTAGAAGCAGATACATAGAGAAGATAGAAGGAGATAGAAAAATGGGGCACAAGGCCACAAGGCACCAACGCATGTAATTAGTCAGCTTAGGTAGTTCCCCACATGGGGCCATGGGCCTCGCTGAGAGGCCTGACGGGCGTATGAATCTCTCTCTCTCTCTCACAGCCCACCCTGACAACCACACAATGAGCATCAACCCCGCCTCTTCTTCATCCATTTTTCATCAACGGTCAGTATCGTCATTTCGGCTTTGGGCCTCGGGACCACAAATTACTCTGAGGTTTCTTGATTGGTCTTCGTGACTTCTCTCACCGGTCATGGGCACCAGAACAATGATCCTCAACGCCTGGGGCAAGTCATTATGGAACTCCGCCACGAGAAGTTCACGATACCGATTGTTAACTGGATTCCAATTTTGAAGGCAACGACGGAGCATCCAACTAAATACAGTGTTATACGTTCGTGTGACGTGGTCAAGCAAGACAGAAGCTCGGGCATTGATAACGGTTGTTCGCCGTCGAGACTAAAAGGCAACTGTATTGCCTTAATTCCCAACGTGCAACCTGTTTTTGGGCAGCAAGAAGAGAAGATGACATTATGCCTAGCATTATCTAGGTTGATTACAGATACCAAGTATTGCGGCATGTATAGTTCATATTCCTTAGAAACAGTGTCTTTGTCCTTAACTGTTGTATCACTCAAAAGAGGCAATGAGGAGTATATCCGGGTTTAAATAATATCAGGCACTGGAGCGTAAGCTAGAGCTTGACACTCAATGTTACATTACTACAATGTACCAGGCATAGCAAGGTCTTGATGTCTATCGCGAGGCCGGCGGCTTTAACTATCCCCACGCTTGAATCGCCTCATCTTTCCTCACCAAACCACTGTCACGCGCGCTTGCGTTTAGGTTGCACGCTCGGTTTCCTTGATTTGCCCATCGAGTACCCTCTTGTTATCATTCGCTATTATCGCTACGGTGAGCTTCATAAGGTATCAAGTGACCTCTCTACTTTTAACCTTATTGCAGGTCAACGTATAGATACTCGGATTGAGCACTGTTCCGGCTTCTTTGGTGATACTGGGTCAAGTTTCCCTTGCTCCTTCTTTCATCATTGTCTAATGCCACTGTGGCTGAGCCGAGGAAACCTGTGCTAATATGATTTGTTCGTGGTATTATTCCTATTTCCGCCTTGTTTCCTTGCTCATCGTCAGGCCATTGTTCTCCTTAATCCTCACTAGAGGTTCCTCATTTCTCCTTCTCACTCTTGCCTTTACTCACAGTAGCTCCGTTCGGTCAACGGCCTAGTATGGCTGTGCCACGGTCTAACGGGAGTTCCGATTCTTCCTACTCGTGCGAGGCATCGTGGACCCCACTCAGGAGCGAAGAACATCCTCATATGATCCCCAAACAGACGGCCTCGGGTTACAGAGATGAAAGACAAGAGGGAATCTGCCGGTGTCAGACAGTTGGCATCGTGAACTCCGAACAGGCAAGTTCTTCGCCTTTGAGCGAGGAATTGGAAATCTCCTACTTCTCGAAGTATTTAAATCCCCCGTGGACAGTCATGTTCTTCGTCTCTTTCATCATCCAGCTCAGCAGTACCTTCAGCAGATATCGCTTCACTTCTACACTCTCCTTGACCACTATTAGGATCTTCAGTTGCATTGCCAATTTCCTCATCTAGACACCCTGTCGTGGTTATTCCCTCCAGATTTATGAACCATCTTCATCATGGCTACATCCGTCTTCTCCGCCCCAGTATCTTTCGTCAATGATGTCTGGGTTTGCTGCAATTGTGGCAGTGCGAATCTCGATGCCAATTGTCCTGAGAAGTGCGGTGGCAATTGCGACCACATTAAGTGTGGTGGGTGCTCGTCCTAGTACCGTGACCTTCCTCCTTACTGCAATATAAGAGACCCAACTGACGACCCATTAGACGAATGCGAAAAGGAGGAGACCGGTTGCATGTAACCCGTTCAGTTCACGACTCGATTCGAACACCGTCTCCCCAGCATCCCTTTCTATGCCGGTCATTCCCACTCTTCCTTCAATCTTCGAGACCAACCCGCCCTGCTTCAGAGGTGGTATAGACTTTCGCTTTGTCTTCTTAGCTACTCCTCTGTTACGATTACGACTCGATCCCACATTTTACTTCGACTGAACTCCTTCGAGCTCGCACCACGCTGTCCCGATTGTTACTTTTATATCATCTTTTTGTCTCCTACCCCGTTCATTTAGTCATCCTATAGCAATTTATTCTCCTCTGGAGCAAATCAAGCTTCATATTGGCATTATTCCGTACACAGACACCAACATTATGCGATGTAATATGATATATACCACCTATCAAGTACCAGCCACACGGCGCTAATATTCCACACCCTCTCTAATAGTCTAATAAGCTCCCAAGCGGGCCCCCAAGGCAATCCTTTGAGATGGTGGCCACATACCAGACCTTGATAACACTATCATCAGCCTGAGATGTAGTTTATAGGAATAGCTTCTCATTCCAATTTCTCTGAATGCCCTGTGGCTCCCTGTTGTAGTTTCGACAAGAGAGACTGTGATACATACCGCATGATTGACGCGAGACTGATTGGAGCGCCCGTCTGTCCACCATCCGTGCTGCTCTTTTAACTATGCCGATCTTCCTTTGAGGATTTGCATATGGCATTATTAGTGTGCTGAACTAGAGATTCCACGTAGCTCTGTACGTCACCTAAGGGTGGAGCGCTAGACTACAAAGGGCTTCCTTGGGTGCGTGGTCGGTGGTCCTAAGGTCTGGACGTTGATATATTACTGACGAGTTATAAGTGCATAGTTACTTCATCGGACATCTCACACATTCTAAATGGTCCGCAAGTTGGAATATCGGTACACTTTCATTCTGGCGCTCTTCGTCTACTACATTTAGGCCATGATATTCTGGCTCTCTGCCGTCAACCGCACATTTGGCAACTTCTCTAGTCCCGTGTTTATCATCGGTTCTAGACTTTCGGTACTTGAGTCTTCTATGAAGCTATACCTTGCTGTTGGTAATACGTCAAGTGGTTTGGGTTCCATCTCAAACTTCCCCAGAGTGTCCAGTCCGCCGCTTCAGTCTTGTCTCTAGGACTTGCTTCATATGTTAAGTTATTTTCAAGCAGCTCGCCGTCGATGACAAGGACTTAACCAATATTCAGTCCACTGATCTGGATATTGCTGCTTTCGTTGCCTTGATCGTCGCCGTCTTCTACTTCGCTCCAATCCCTGAGATCACTGATGCGGAATGCCGGGCCATACAAGGATGACCACCACTGCCACTAGCGGGATTGAAGGGCCTACGCCCAAGCAACGCAACGTATACGTACAGTCAATACGAATAGCTATTTAATCCAAGGCACCGTTCAAAAGGGCCCTTTACCCTGTCAGAACTGTGCGAGATCCGTTCATTCCTATCAGATCTAACTAATCAACTCTTTTCGTCACTACTCATCCCTCTTCCGCCCACTACCTTCACTTAGTATTGGGCGCTTCGCTACATTTATCGGTTCGAAACCCATCTCAACTGTCTGCAAAATCAACAACATCATTCTGTTACCATGGCGGAAAATCCGAGCCCCAAGATCCCTGAAGGTCAAGCTTCTGTTTTCGGTGGTCTTTCTCAAAGTCTTTCATTCCATTCCTCCCCCGAAGACTTCATCGCATCCCGCATTCAAGTCGTGGATCAAGCTCATCGAGCTGGCCCAGCTGTCATTCGCGCGAAGATTCTGAATAGAGACGTTGCCATAATTTCTTCCCACAGGCTGTGCGAAGGTGTTTTGCGAGATGGAAATCCAGATGATCCAGTAATCACAACCCAAGGGAGGATTCCACATCGAAACACCTTTACTGCGGGGTCGGCGTATCGACAACTCATGGCTGACTTCTTTCCCCCCCCTAATCTACTCCTAATGGACTATGACGACCACTCAGTCAAGCGAGAATCCTGGGAAAAACATCTCTCATCATTTCACTCGGATGTTACTCCAACAATACACGACATTACAAACGACCACATCTCCAGTTGGACCAACAGCAGTCCAATTGATTTGTATGATTCACTGAAAAGTCTCTCTTGGCGGATTATTCTAGGCATCTTTCTCCAGCTTCAGCCAACAGACGAATTGTACCCAACTATTCAATCGCTTCAGGAAACGCTACTACGAGGCCAGTTCTCACTACTCCCGATAGCCCTTCGAACTCCGTTCTGGCACTCCCCGCGTGCAAAAGGTCTCGAAGCACGCCAGAAGCTCCAGGCCCTACTCAAGGACCACATCGTCACACAGAGCACAGAATGTCCGTTTTCAAAGCCAGGAGATATCTCAAAAGACGAGTTAGCCACGCACAGTCTTCTTTTTACCAGTTCACTTTCCGTCAAGGCGCTGGCATCGCTTCTCACCGCAACCATTTTAAACTTGTTCATTATGCCCGGTGAGTCGTCGTTGGCGTCTCGCGTTCGAGCTGAGGTTTCAAATGATTCTGCCCAAAAGCTTTTGAGAAGCATACTTCTCGAAACGGAGAGACTGAGTCCTCCCATCGTGGGGGTAATGCGTCGAGTAAATCAAGAGGTGATACTCTTGGATCCACACAGCCAGCCGCCCTCCCGCATCCCAGCCGGATGGGACGCGTGGTTGTATTTCAGCGGCGCCGCTCGAGATAGGACGGTTTATCCGGAGCCTGATACCTTCATTCCGGAGCGATATCTTGAGCCCGACATGACCAAACCGGGATTTGCATTCGGACATGGGGCCAAGACTTGTCTAGGCAAACCCCTCGTTCAGCAGATTGTTATGACGGTGGCCCAGGCGATTTTGCAATCAAACATCCACCTTGATGGGAATGTTCATGCCGCAGGCGTTCGAGGGTGGCTAGGTTGGGAGTCTGGAGTCAGTGCGGATGCTTTCGCGAGGGATTTGAAACAATTACCTTGCCAGAGGCCAAAGGATCCGATTCATATTCATGTAGTACGTGATCAGATATGATTGTTCGGGCTGACGAGATATCTTTTATGGTAGAGAAGAGTCCAATCTAGAAATTGAGGAGATATTCCATTAATTACTCTATCCTCGCAATCGAAGTAAGAGATGAATAATCTTGACTGAGCTGATTAAGGTTTCCACAGTAGAGGCAAATTTCGAGCGGCTGCATCTTCTGGATATACATTATTTTCACCGGCAAGAAAAAATGAGTCTATTGTTTGCTGATTTTTAGCTAGCGTACAAGATACCGTCTACCAAAGTTTCTAATACCCAGAAGCAGCCATATTGTATTTGTGATGCCTATTGCACCTGTGCCAAACTGGCATGACCGGTGAAGGTGAAGATAGGCATCGACAGCTGAACGTCCCGTTTGTCGGCCAAAAGCGTACAATATCCAATAAATAAGGTAGACACGGCACAAAGCATAGACAGACAGATAGAGAAAGTGCGATAAAGCTATGGTTCTAGTTCGAGAGGGACTGGATTTGACCAAGTACCAACGCAAGGTTCCAAAAGGGGTCCTACCGAGAAAGTATTAGTCTACTTTAGTAGATGTGCATGTAGGAAACTCAAGCAACGTACGACGCGTTCATAACCATCAGCATTAAGATGATTAGTATACCCTTCTCTTTCCCCCGGGCAATATACCACTGCAACATCCCCAGTCCAACTAGGAGTCCACCATGGTGGTATCCCAGTATTCGCCAGTTGATTGCCTTGGTCAAACTTCCTTTGCCACACTGTTGGCTACGTAGGTACGCACCAATCAATAAGATCACAGAATCTTGGGCCAAGTATGCAGTCTCGATGGTAACCAGACTGTTTGCCAGTGTGGACCGCGCGGTAATGATGGAGGAGGAAGATCCACTTGAAATTTTGTTGATATTTTCACCGGAGATGTCAAGGCCAGATAGGTTCCCTATGGAGTCTACGGAGGAGCTGTTGGGTGGCATCCATTTATCGCGCTGTTTGTAGAGTTCATATATTGATGCGAGGGCCACGAAGGAGCAATGCAAAGCGGAGACAGCTTCCCGGGATTTGGAGAATTGCAACGGAGAGGGTTTTCGGGGAAGAAGCAGACGAAAAGCAAGAGGGTAAATCAAGAATGATGCCAAAAACGATGTTGATTGAGAAACATTCCAAGGTTGAACTGAAGTGGCCATTTCCTCCGATATTCTTTTGAAGAGGCTGTTTTGCCTTGCCCGGAGGTGGAGCGCAAAGTAGAATTGAGGAAAAATAAGACAGCCGTGTTCTCTCGAGAGGCTCTTGAAGTCAAATCGAGGAGTTTTAATTAATCCATGTCCATTGGTCCTAGCGAGAAACCACCACCCTACTTCAAGGATGATACCAGAAATCGTACTCGCTGAGCAATGCCGAAAGCCACAGCTAAGCTCATGATCCATGACAAGTTACCGACCCATCCCGGCCATATAAGCATTATAGAAAACAATATACCGCTCTCAAAACCCTCGACCAACGCCGGGTACATAGAAACACTCGTCAACTCATCCGCTTTCGGTGTTCCTGCGGCAGCGGCATAAAACAGAACGAAATTATTGATGTGGAATGAGGTCTCGAGAACAGCAACAGCCAACCAGTCAAGATGAGTGAGTGTGTTACGCTGCTGGAACGCGATTGCAATTGGTAGAAGTGAGTAGACGATAAAGTCGCAGAGAAGATCAATGAAGCCGCCAAGTTCTGAAGCAATTCCCCTGCTCCTGGCCAGAGATCCGTCGAGGCTGTCAAGGGTTCGATTCAATAGCCATAGAACAATGGCGCATGGAAGTCGGTCTTGGGTGGTTGATAGTGACTGGGCAAGACAAGACCCTAATCCACAAGCAAAGGCAAGAAGTGTGAGAGAGTTTGGAGTTAGAAATGACGGGACTAGGGCACAGACTGGTTTGGCGAGAGTTTCTTTAGTGTGCCTCAACGCAAGGTCGAACATAGTGTGAAATTTGACTTTTGAGAGGTGATTCTGTTGAGAATCAAGATACCTCGATGTCCTTATGACGCTGATAGCCCCGCCGCTAGCCCTGCCTACAGCAAAGCAATAACTACTAGCTTACTGGTAACTATACGCCCCCTGTCGTAAGCATAATGCAGCAGCCGGGGATAGGAATCCTTCTGATTAGTCATATTTGCGATTTATCCCTGACTATATTTTTCTAACATGGAAATCCACCTGCACTGAATTGCACTGAATTGTACTGAATTTCACTGAATTCCATCACGTACTTCGAAGAACACCATCATGATAATAGACAGTTCACCACTATGTCCATCTCAATCAGTATCATCCCTCTTTACCCTCCGTATCATTCTATTATTATTCCTGCTCACTACAATCCTTATCCCTTGGCTGTATGATCGAATTCTCTCAAATGTCTACAGCTTCCTCGCTCAGTCAACCTTATACCGACTATCAATCTTCGAGACTCTGGAGACTGTCTTCTGTTATGGGTATATTGAAGCCTCATTCATAACCCAATTCGTCCGCAACCCTTCTCTTCGCATTGATATCCGCCGTACATCAAAGGGAGCCGATTCCGGATCCACACTCGAACATCCAAAACGACCACGAATGCGACGTCCATCTCGGCGCCTTTCTGAAGTTGTGCTTTATGTCGCCCCACTCTTGGTGCTGGACTTCACCCTCGTGAAAAAATATGCCAATGTAAGCGTTGCAGACATTCGGCGCAGTGGCGGGTATCCGTCATTTCATGACTCCGTTGGCAGCAATTTCCTCGCCCCCAGCTTCCACAAGTTCTCCTTAACTTCTCCGCTCCAGCTATGGCGAGCGCTTCCCACGGAACCCCCAAGTAGCCGCAGACTTGTACTGGAGCTCATCACTGCTGTCTTCATCTATGACGGGTTGTTTTTTTTCGCCCACCTTGCCTTTCACCGCATACGTTTTCTGGCATATTTCCATAAGCCACATCATCAGCACGGCGAAATCCATCCACAAGTCACAGACCAGCTATCGGTTGTGGAGCGTCTCACGCTAGTCTTGCTCGCAAACTTTTCTCTCAATATCATTGGCGGCCATGTTCTCACACGCACCATCTTCATTCCCGTCTTTGTGTACCTTCTCATTGAGATACACTCGGGGATGGATTTACATTTTGGATTTGAAAAGATACTACCACAAGGCTGGGCTACCGGTGCTAAAAAGCATGCTCAACATCATCGAGAAGGGGATGGTAGCTTCGCGCCCTTTTTTTGTTGGTGGGATTATGGGTTAAGCATTTGGGACGATTTTCGAAGAAATGTGCATCATGTAAAAAGACGACAGAAGAGGACTCTATCTTCAATATAGGACGATAGTGAGTTATTTGTTCTTGTGAATTTGGACGGAGATATATAGGTCATGCTCCGAAAAACAAGGGCGATGAAGACTTCATGCGAACTATATACGATTGAATCCATACCAACTTACGCTGAACCCTCGATCATCTGTGATTACAAACCCCGGGCCAGCTGCTGTATTCCTGCCTTAATATTTTGAAGGTGAACATGGTTGAGCTATCGTTCTTTTGGTGCGATTTCATATGTATCCAAAAATATTCAGGGGTTGAGTGACGCTGTTGAACTTTTGAATTCAGGTCGCTGTCTGCTATTATATTTTGTATACTAAGTTAAGAGTGAAAAGGACAATAACAAGCACTATCAGCACTCCAACCCCTATCCAGTGATTTCTCTTCCTTGATGTCTCTCTTCCTTCCATACCAGCCATGGAAATTGCGGACCTTTTGATATCTGCCTTAACCAACGGAATGCATAAAGCGAATCCGATAGAGCTCAGAATATAGCCAAGAGGGATGATGACAGCAAGTATAATCTTTAGGCTCTGCGCATAGTTTTCGCTGTCCGGGTTCACTCCATCCAGTGCCAGACCAACAATCTCCGGGCCAGAGGAATAGATGAGCACCACAATTGCCGAATAAATCGAAAATGCGAAGGTCTTGTACTTTGGAGGAAACAAAATGACTAGCAATCCATTTACTGGACCAAGCCATAGCTCCGCAGTAACGTATGCTGCCGCAAGGGTACCGTAAAGGACCTTTACGCCTGACTCTTTGTCTCCGACAAGTTCTCGTGAGAACACCATAAGAATGACAAAGACGCTGCTGAGCACTCCGCCCGCCGAGACGAGATAAAGTGGGGTAAGCTTCGTCTTGGGCCAGAGCGCTGACGTGACCAGGCCGCCAGAGAGGGATGTGGCAGAACCAACGACACCAACGATGATGCCGTAAACCGAGGTGAGATTTTTCGTCTCGGGGTAAAGTTGTTGGAGATACCCGGGCATGTAGTAACCAAACACAACGCCTGACAGCGTCCGGACTCCCGCAGCAAGCGTATAGAGCCAGAAGGACCTCATAGATATGACGTAGTTCAGTGTGTTCCGAAACGATGTTCCCTGGCCATTTCCTTCTCCTTCTCCCTCGTCAGTCAGACTCCGTGCGATAGCGTCACGCCGTCGAGGTTCTTTCCACATGACCACACGTATAACAATTGCTAATCCGATTCCGAAGATGCCGACCCCCTTTAAAGCCCAACGCCAACTGGTCCCTGTCCTGCGGAAAACGGTCGAAATCTGACCACTGATGGCTTCACCGACATAGATTCCCATGTAAAGGACGCCTTCCCCCGTAGAGACGTATCTCCTTGGGCCCATCAAGTCGGAAATCAGGCTCACAGTCAAGGCTTCGACCGCACTTTGACCGATTCCCATTGATACCCGAGCAGTGGCTATTTGCCAGTAATTATGAGCAAGTCCTTGAAACACGACAGACAAGGACCACCATGCGATAGACAAGGTGAGTATCCACAAGCGCGCTTTAGAGCGATCGGCGATGGAAGCCAGAGGAATGGAAAGAATGGCAAATGATATTCCAGTGGCGTAACCCGAAAGAATGGCATATTCACTTGATGATATGTTAAGTTCAGTTGTGAGTGGGAGCTGAAAGTATGAAAGGATAAACCGATCGTACTGGGCGAGAAAGAAAGCCGTAAAGAGTAGTGCAACCGATATAATGGTATAAACCTGGGATAGATAGGAGGGATTCCTTGCGTCTCTCTGGACGCTGCTGTTAGGGGAATAAGGCAAGGCCATGCCACTTTGGTAAAGCTCCGATTTACCCATATTGCCTATTGGATAGATGCACAATAGAGCAGTGTTGTAAAAGTGTGACGAAGGACGTGGAGACAAATGGGAAGTTAAGACTAAATACTTATCATTTACTGTCGCAGCGTTACGGTCACAGCATAGCTGCATATTGGAGAGAGAAGTTGGTGCAGGGCACGCAGGAATGGGATGATTCATGACTCTCGATATCGGCGACGAAGATACAAGGATCAAAAATCTACCGTGTACGATGTCCTCAGGCCGAACAGCCGGAAGCTGGCCGATGAAGAGCTTGAAGGTTGCGGTCTGCGGACAACTCGTGTCCCCCGTCCGAGCCATTTCGCCGATGAGTGGCCCGACTCATGACATCAATGGCCCAGATCAGACGGAAATCTCGTTCTGATCAATGGGAAAGTGATATCGTGGCATCTTGGCTTTAGTTGATTCTTTCAAATGAAGGTTAGCGCAACCTTTAGTTAGAAGGAATACGTTATGCGCCCCTGGGACCTGTAGAGGAATATGACCCTGGTTAGAAGGAATGAATAATACGCCCCTGGTCATGACAGAATTGATACGTGTGGGTCGGTCCCAGCTACGCGGGGAACAGGCGGGTCGGGGTCTGATTATCCTATTCCGGTCAGTGTCCATTTACGTTGGGACTAGGAAGGGAGGCTATCACGATCACAGGCTGACAGGCGGGAGAGGCCATCCTTTGGCGTTTGGACATGTCCCTTGGAAAAAACAAGCCATCGAGAAATTGTTGACCCTCTCGAAAGTCGAAACCTGTTCCACATGCTGATTCACAATCGGTTCACATTTGGATGCCAGCTGCCAAACTGCTCACTAACTATAGTTAGAGTAAACTAACTAACGTATTCCACAAGCGAGTGGCCCATACAAGCGAGTGGCCCAGCTCATTTTACTAGTAAATTCGACAAAATTCGATATCAATATCTCAACAACCACTGGGTAATATAGTCTGAAAACTTAGAATTAGGTTTTCCTATCGATTTCTAGCTTATTATTAGAATCTTAGAGCTTTATCTTTTAAAGTTATAAAGATATAGAGATTTGGTCTCTAAATCTTGCCAAGAAGTAGGTATCTCTATACCTGTAAAAGCTAGGGCTTTAATATTTCAATAGTAAGCTAGAAATGGCTAGGAAAACCTAACTCTAAGTTTTCAGACTATATTATCCAGTGGTTGTTGAGATATTGATATCGAATTTTGTCGAATTTACTAGTAAAATGAGCTGGGCCACTCGCTTGTATGGGCCACTCGCTTGTGGAATACGTTAGGTACAAGCATGTTGACATTGCCGTTAGACAACATTAAAATAGTTAGAGGTTGAATAAATTATATGTAGGGGCGGCTAGCTAGCTACAGTCTCTCAATAATTAGCTATGGGTTTTTAATTGTAAGGTTGACCACTTTTTCCTCCCCAGCCCGCGTTTCCAAGAGTTGCAGGAAGTCCTCGTGATTCTTGCGTACACGAGCCAGATCCTCCCTCGTCAACAACTCCCTGAAGCCACCCTCTCCGGCAACAGAAACGACCACACTTGGCGAAGGCACTTTGTTCTCGCGCGTCCAAGTCTTCAACTCGATGGGCATTTCATCGCGGTGTACCTGTTGAACCGCAACTCCGTCGATTCGCGCTCTCGTCTTGACCCAATCCGACGACTCTTTCAGACTGAGCGATGGGCCGTGAGTGAGTTCGCAAGCGGCGCAGGCTGGGGATTCGTTTGGGTCCGGGCAAGTGACTTTGCGCTTCACGTAGGACAGCTTGCCGAGCATCGTGGAGTCGGCGTTGTAGATAATGTAGAGCGATTGGGAGGTGGTGGTACTGGCGGCCATAACTTTTAGTGCTGAAGCTTGATTGATGAGGATTTTGTCTGGGTTGTGCGGGCGTTTTCCAAGGTTGGATGTGAGGTTTCAATGTTTTGGGGGGTAAACTGAAGTATATCTGGATCTGGGGACAAGTGATAAGAAGCAACTAGGTATTTATATCAAAACATGAGCGTCCGGTGACTGCGTCTTCGGGTGATTAGAATCTTTCCATTTGGTCATACGTCATAAGTTGCTGCTGCGCACAGTAAGACGCCTTTCAATATGTACTAATTCTTCAGCTTCTGAAACCCGACGAACGGATTCTATGGCGAGATGGCCTCTGAAAGGTAATGGTGGGAAGTGTAGTAACGGCGGCTATGGTTTTAGCAACTCGTCATGCAGAATCCAGCCTCACAGGACTAGGCGGATTATCCTATCCTAAATCCTGATCAGCCTCTGTTTACGGATACGTATACGGAGTAGAGTAATGCTGTGATAGCCTTCGTGCTCGGTATTCGCAGCTTGGTGGTGGATTACGTTAGTTAGCTGATATGATTAATAACTAACAGGGCACGCAGGTTGGCCTAGAGCAGGCCGCTCGTGATTGGCCAGTTAACGATAGAGCTCTAGGTATTCAGCACTTTCTCCACTCTGTACAACCACACGCGACACCACACGCGACATCATAAATCCGCGTTCTGCACCTGTCATGTTTCTATCGTACAATTCTGGAATAGATATTTTTTAATGATTAATCTTTATCTCATGCTTCAGGTACTCGCTAATAAATGTCCGAGACTGTGCTTTACAATGCTGCTTTCCAAAGGTTTCAGCGATGTCGCGTCTCCTCCTATCGCCTGATTGCTCCCAGTACTCTCAGGCTATATTCAACATACGCCCCTTTTTCTGCTCAGTCCATCGTCAGTCAATGTGTTCCATTAGGCTTCTATTTGTGACTTGAGCTTGCTTGTTCATGTTGACAGAGGAGTTTTTGAGTCAAGCGCCCAGGGCTCATCAATGTGCCCGACGCTCTGGTCGGCGCCCCAAAGGTCGGCGCCAAAGTCTACCTTGAATTGTCTTCACCAATGGAATCAGCCACCGAGATGGTTGTCCTCGGTGAATCGCCTGAAATGGGAAACCTACCACTACCTGAAACACTATCAACACATCGGATGTGCTGGAGGCCTGGAATATGTCCCTCAGTATGTGTCTCACAGCCTCGATCACCGACTTGAGCCTCTCTTCTGTCTATAGAATCGATCGATATGGGAGTTGTAGGATTCGTAAAAAGTGTACCCTTACTGTCAAGCCTCCTTCGCCTGCATAATGCATACAGCTCAGATGCCTCGCCGCAATCATGAAATATTGCAAGTCTAGATTTAAATAACGTACTGCCCAACTTGCTGATTTGAGATGATATTGCACATTTTCCATCTACCTCTTTTTGTTGCATGCATTTATTACTTAGTGGATAATTCCTTCTCTGAAACATATTTCATGAGCATCTTTAGCGGAGACTGAGTCGTCCACCGTTCACAATGGCAACCATTTCAAGGAAAGAGGCTGATCAGTTCATCAAAAATCTGCGAACGAAAACTGGAGGGATAACCCAAGATGATCGAGATTTCTTGAAAAAGCATGATAGGCTTGATTTACTGGAGGTGATACTCACCCTCAGACGGAGATTAGGGGCGTCGACAAGAACGTACGTTGATTTTCAACCGCCCTTTGCAACACATACCGATCGAACGGTCGGTATTTGCACATGGTTTATAAATACTCACGCGAAATAGGCTTGCTACCAATCTGTACGCCAAAGATACTCGATTCGTTTTCGAGCTTATTCAAAATGCGGAAGACAACAAATACTCGATCGCTGAGAGCGCTCTCGAAGACCCCTTTCTTTCGTTCACTCTGGAACGGGGCCAAATCATCATTGATTCGAATGAGGATGGGTTTACAGAACAGAATATACAAGCTATTTGCTCCGTCGGCGAGAGTACAAAGGCTAACAGTCAGGGTTATATTGGCGAGAAGGGCATTGGCTTCAAGTCTGTCTTCAAAGTTGCTCGGAAAGTTCATGTTCAGTCCGGCCCGTTTTCCTTCTCATTCGAGTACAACCATGATGATGATGAAGCGGGTCTCGGGATGGTCACGCCAATACTTGAAGAGCATCCTAAACTCCCGGAGTCAGTGAGGACCCGCATGATATTGTCCCTCAGCGAAGACTGCGACTGGCAAGCACTACGAGGTGAATTTCTGGGTTTGCCGGACACTCTGCTGCTCTTCCTGAAGAAATTAAAGAAGCTCAAAATCGCTGTACCTGGACGGGGCTTTGGGGGATACACTGAAAGCATTGAGTACGAATTGACGTCCTCGCGTCACCGCGCCAGCATCACCAAACGGATGCTGAACCCCGACTCCATCCAGAAGCAAGATTATTGGATCACGAAAAGAGAAGTGAATGACATGCCTAGAGACAATGCTCGCAGAAATATCACTCGCAGCGAAGTCCTCCTTGCTTTCCCGCTGGACGATCAAGATATTCCTATTATTGAAGTACAGCATGCGTTTGCATTTCTTCCTCTGCGAAAGGCTGGATTCAAGGTTCGTTCATAACCAAAGGTGCTCGTTCTGGTCATTAATCTCACAAATCCCTAGTTTCTGATACAGTCCGATTTCATCACCCAAGCAAGTCGCGAAGACGTCTTCGACTCGCCCTGGAATCGGCATCTGCTTGCAGAGGTTGCCTCTGCCTTTGTTAACAGTACTAATGGGTTTCTCAAACATCCGAAGCTAAAGTACCACTGGGTACGATATGTTCCGACGGAAAGCATCCCTGATGATTTCTGGGGCCAACTTCAAACTCAAATCCTTGCCACCCTCAAGAAAAAACATGTGTTCTTTGCTAGAGATGATAACTCCCTATGGCGCGCAAACCAGATGCTCTTCGTTGGCAAGGAGTTCAAAGATGAACACGGGCAGCCACTTCTTCCTGCATATCATTCTGGACCAAGCACACCAGATTCCGAAGCTTACGCGTCCGAAGAATACGATGACAGGCTTAACCGCCAGGCTCTGAAGAGCTTGGGAGCCCGGAATTTGTCTGTCGCAGGTTTCCTCAAGATCGTCCAGGACGACTTGACTCGACGATCGTCGAAAATACGGTCCACCCCCTACTCGTCAACCTGGCATACGAAGGTGGCGGACCTGCTGAACGAGGCGATCGAAATGCACTCAAAGCTTCAGGCTGTCATGGCGCTCCGGATTGTTCCTCTGAGCACTGGCAACTGGGCGAGCCCCCAAAATGCAAGCATATACTTCCCGTTCTCGGAAGGAGTCGAGATTCCAGATGATCTGCCTCTGAGCCTGGTTGATACACTTTCACTGAGCAATGAGAGCCGGAAGGTCCTATTTACACGCCTTGGGATTACCGAATGTAAACCGGAGCTTGTATTCCCGCTCATCAACCAGCAATACCAGCGTGCTGGCACAACTCGATCACAAGCCCTGTCACACATTAAGTTTGTTTTTTGGCATAACAGATATCTCCAACCGAACCAGCTAGGATCCATTCGTATTCCACCGCAATTTGGAAACCATTGGCTTGACATCAACAGCAGCAGCGTGGGTAGGTGGGCCTATTGTCCTCGCTCCGAACATGCCTATTCAATGTACAAAGTCCTTGAATCCACGATGCCGGCTGAGTTGGAACAGAAGACCTTCTTTCCAACCATTTCTTGCTACAAGATGCTCGAACAACTTGAGCGTCGCCACAACTTGACAGGCATTGAGTGGTTCAGAGGATTCATCGAAGCCAAGGAGACACCTCAATTTAGTAAGAGGAACAAGACAAAGGTTTTATCCGCTGAGATAAAATACGTGGTGGATCATTCGAGCCATTTCTTGCTCGGTGCGCTTGAAGCCTGCCAGAGTCAATATCCGCCGCAGTCATCGACGGAAGCTTACAGCTACTTCAAACAGGCGTTGGTCCCTATACTTCGCTCCGAACAACGCAGGCCACTTAAGGATACACGACTCCCTTTACCTAAACTTCGCAGCATCGTAGCTCGACTTGGGCTAGAAGAGGGGTTTGGGTTCTGCGCGGAGCTTGAAGGAATTACGGATGATGAAATCACTAAATGGAAATTTCTTAGTACGTTTGGAGTCATCGTCGATGAGGATGTATCCTTCTGGATTGCGCTTCTGGATCAGGCTCGGATTCAATCCACTGAACCCAGAGTCATCTTCGAGATCTATTCAAACTTGCAGAGGTACTTCGAAGATGGTGACTGGGGAAAAATTGCGTAAGTGTCTATATAATGCCTACGATATGGGGCTGATAGACTGACTGAAACGTATCAGAAATGCCTTCGGGGGTGGAGATAAAGTCTTCATTCCTTCAGGAATGCCTGACGGCCGCCCTTGTTGGACTACGTTGGAGACCTGCGTATGGGATGCCCCAGATTGGTTCTCATTTAAGAATCGACTCGAAGCCATTGATGGATATCAAACATTGCACATCCTTTTCGGCCTAACCCTTGGGGTAGAAAGCGCGAGTGTTGATGACTTTCTGGCCAACTTGGGTCACATCAAGGAAGCCACGGGAAATATGCCGGAAGAGGAATCGAAGATCCCTTTGCTGTACCAAGAGCTCAGCAAAGAGTCGAAGGAAGCAGACACTGCCAAGGATGCCATCAGGTATGTAGCAAAGTATCGATGTTTGGGAAGCAGAGCATTGATATGGTGGCAGATCCCAATTCGAAAGCGACCAGCTGGTTTACCACCCTCAAACCCGATCATGGCATGCACCATCAGCGTGCATTTGGGCTGAAGAACGGATCCATCTCCCAGGCAAGGTCTCTATTGCGACCGCATATAAAGGGCACACTTCCTTTTTCTGCAGCCTTTTGAAAGTGCCGAAGCCGGACCTGGATATGCACATAGCCGCTCTCCAACAGAAGACACTGCACAATCCTGATAGACAGAGCATCCTGGAGGAGGTAATCAACATCTGTGCTTTAGGTCCAACCCCACACGCACTCGAAAGCCTTTCTGCGACCAAATGTTTTCCGGTTAGGCGTAGCTTGGGGGCCGTCGAATGGGTCAACCGGGAGCACCAATTCGTAGTCGTTGACCGGAATGAACTTGCCGAGCTCTTTGCTGGAAAGGCCGACATGCTTGACTACTCGTTGGAAGAATCCCACAGCATTAAGCCGTTCCTGCTGGGTATGGGCCTGCAAAATCGCTCCATATCCCGCATGGTGAAAGAAAAGACTACCGTCCAAGGAGGGTCTCCCGCGCCTGAGCTTACACGAAATCTGAGGAAGATAGCATACGCGATATTTCGGTAAGTCTTCGGCCGTGATAATGTACCGTCGATGATCGATCTAATCTTATCAGTTACGCTGCCCATTTTGGAGGCAGATCGACGCAACAGGAGCCTGCAGCTGCATACGAGCGTCTACAGACTATGGAGATCCTTACGAGTGACGGTATCTCGCAATCTGTTTCACTTCCTCCCCATGGACCATCGTCTACCGTTCAGACTGATCATGCATATTTCCATCTCGACCACCAGGAAAATGTCTTGAAGCTCTACGTTCCCAAGGACAAGGAGGACAGGGAGATTTGCCTTTCGACCGAACTTCCCATAGCGCTACTTAAACACCTTGGCGTCGAAGACCATGAGCAAGGAAGGGCCCTTGGAACCGTCATCACGGCATCTTCGCTTTCTGTGGTAGAGAAGATCCTTGAGCACCAGGGTATAATCAGTGTCGAAGGCATTACTCGGCCGCAGGAAGAGCTGTCGCCCGAGCCAGAGGCACGCGAGACGGTTTCTACACCCATCAGCAGGCTCTTGTCTCGTTCAGAGACTCCTTCGACCCTAGCAAGCGGGATACAGTCACCTTCGGAGACTCTGTGGCGTCGCGGTGCGGGCTTGCACTCGACACCCGATCCAGTACCGTCTGATTGGGACGACGATGTGTTCTCGACACCAGGAACGTCTGTATATGGTGTGCCGCCGGGCCGCCCTGAGCGCCTCACCCTCTACCGAGACCTCCTGGACGGTGTGATTCGACAGGCAGCAAACCTATCTGACCTACCAGTGGCAGGACAGATTCTGCAATCGCCTTCAGTTCCACATATGGTTGCAACGTGGGATGCCATTGCCTCATCATACTTCATGGAAACGGATTTCAAGATCGGGGTCGCTGGGGAACTTTTCGTACGTTATGAACCCCCCGCGACACAAATTCCTCAGGATGATACTAATGACAGGCAGGTGTTCGAATTATTGCAAAGCCTCGGCCTACCAGATTTTGGACGCCACAACTGGCAGAGCACTATACGTGGTCGAGCGAAGGTACATAAACGCTACTCAGATATTCAGAACTGGGCCGGCTCCGAAACTGCGGATATTGTCTATCAAGACCGAGATTGCACACTCACGAAGTTGCTGGTTGAAAAGGGATATCTGCGAGCCGATGTCTGGGCTGACCATTCGCCAGAATATTACATCGAAGTCAAGACGACTGTATCGACTCTCAAAACGCCATTCTATTGTAGTCAATTGCAGTATGATCGAATGGAAACAATGAGGTTGGTCGGGAACATCGCGTCGGATAAGATCTATCTGGTTGCGAGAGTCTTTGCACTTGGCGATTCTGGCATGGGATTGAAGCTGTATTTGGATCCAGCGACGCTCCGAAGCGAGAGGCAGTTGGACTTCAGAGCGGAGAAATACAGTGTGACACCGTTGGCGTAGACATGGCGCAGATCTTTCGGATTAAATGTCGGATGAAATCTAGGGTATTTTTGGGTTTTCTTTATGAAATATATAGGATCTTATTGTGAGATACACAAGTATTTACTTACTAAGGATACTATCACTGCTGAGTGCTGACGGTCATGGCATTCTGATGAATGGCAATGTTGTTGTTCAGACCTCAGTCCTGTTTCGCACCATTACGTCACCAAGATGGCTCTGGCCACTTCCATGGATGTAAAAGCATGTGAACTCTATCACGAGTACACGACCGTAACGACATAACCATTGCGCCACCAATTATCACGGAACCTTCAAATACCAGAATCCTCTTCCTTTACTATATTTATTGGAACCCTCATGGGCAATTAGACAACCAACACAATCTTTAATTCAAAAACCTCAGCCATGACAACCAATCGACGAAAACCCCCCAAAAACGAGATGAACGGTCGTCCACCTTCCCTCCATCCCACCACCAAACCCCCCTCACCGCCTCCAATCCTCAAAACTCCCCTCCTCCCCACCCCCAACGAGCTCCTCCTCCTCTCCATCTACCCCATCACTCTCCTCCTTGGCCACCTCTATAGCCTCCTCTCCCCCACCACCCGCCACCTCCCCTACGACCCTGTCGCGCAATCCCACCCCGCCGCCCACGCCCCCTCCTACTTCGCCCGCAAAAACAACCTCCTCAACCTCCTCTTCGTCAAGCTCGGTTGGCTGTGGACCACCGTCGTGCTCGCGCTGTTCGTTGCCACGCACCCGCGGTTCGGCGTCGGGGGGCTGTTTACCGGCGGGGGCGTGTTGACGGCGCGCGAGGGGGAGGCGGCGCAGACGAGGGGGTTGCGGAGGGCGGGGCAAGTGGTGCTGAGGTGGGCGGGGAGTACGGGGGTGTGGTATCTGGTTACGCAGTGGTGTTTTGGGCCCGGATTGGTGGATCGGAGCTTTGCGTTGACGGGGGGGCGGTGTCAGGTGTTGAAGGATCCGGTGGCGATGGAGGAGATGGGGAAGGCGGGGGAGGTGTTTACGAGGGTGGCGTGCAAGGCGGCGGGGGGGCAGTGGAGGGGAGGACATGATATTTCGGGACACGTGTTTATGCTGGTTTTGGGGAGCGCGATGGTTGCGGCGGAGGTGGCGCCGGCAGTGGTGAGCTGGGTGAGGTTGGTTAGGGATCGGAATGGCGTAACGACTACGATGGGGTCGGACGGTCAAGAGACGGATGATAGTGCAGTAAGCGGCTTGGGAGTCAAGGCCGCAGCGGTGTATCTGGCTTTGAGCTGGTGGATGTTATTGATGACGGCGTTATACTTCCACACTTGGTTCGAGAAGTTGACCGGCCTCATCATTGGACTTGCTGGATTCTGGCTCATTTATTATCTCCCGAGAGGCATGGCGCCGGTTCGAGCCATCGTTGGAATGCCGGGATTATGACGAGGCATTAGGTCTTGGAATTACGGGCGCTACGGATATCGCATCCCGTGAATATACAACAGACTAACTAGAGTCACCCTTTGGCCTCACGAAACGCCCGTATTCAGAACTATTAGTAAAAATCTTTCCAACGCTTTCATAATCGCTCAGCACGCACATCCTTCCTTCGGCCCCGTCTCCCGTGGTCCCGCTAAATTCACCCGTGCGCCATCGTCCCGTCCCAGATTCGTTTGCCCGCCGACACCTCTTGGCCCTTTCAAACTTGACTCGGGGATCGCATGCGCGATCGCGGTGAACACCTCGGCGACATATTGCCCCGTCTTCGCACTCGTCTCGTAAAACAACAGCCCCTCTTCCTCCGCATACGCCTTGGCCTCCCGCGTCGGCACCTTCCTCGCATCCGACTCATCCTGCTCCGCGTCCGCGTTGGCCTCGACGCCGTCCGCGTCGTCGCCTGGGGCGGGGAATGATCCGGGGCTGGCGAGATCGGCCTTGTTGCCGACCAGCGCGATCACGATGCCGGGGCTGGCTTGCCGCTGCAGCTCGGCGACCCAGTGCTGGGCTTTTGTGAGGGACTGGGGTTTTGTGATGTCGTAGACGACGAGGGCGGCTTGGGCGTTGCGGTAGTACATCGGGGCGAGCGAGGCGAAGCGTTCTTGGCCGGCGGTGTCCCAGATTTCGAACTTGATTGTTCGGTTGGGGAGGTTGCATTTCTGGGTGAGGAAGGCGGCTGGAGGACCTAGGGTCAGCTTAGATCTTGAAAGGGTTGTCGATGCGCTACGTACCACCTATCGTCGGCTCCTTATTTTCCTGGAAGTCGTTGTTTACGAACCGCATCACTAGTGACGACTAAGAAGAGACATGATTAGCCTACGACCGAGAGTGGTTGAACGAAGACATACTTTTCCTACGGCTGCTTCACCCAGCAGAACCAGTTTAACGCTACTACTAGGCCTTGGCGTAGGGGTTCCCGTGGACTCCGCCATTCTGATTTCTGATAGAGATGAATATTCTCGGAAGATGTACGGGGGAGTTCAGATGGTCGCCGAGAAGGCGGTCGGTTTCGCAAGGTGTCGGATGGTGTGTGAGTCTGTGGGGGATATCGATAGGATTTTCCCGTGAGGATACCGGTATTTATTGGATTCGAGTGTTCAGGGAGGTTGGTTTGTTCTAGAAGGGGGGGTGGTTAAGGAATATGAGCAGTGAGCAAGAGCTGGAGTCCTGGAGATGCAGCGACGTCAACGGGGATATGTTGGAGCCTGAGGTTGAAATTTTGGGTTCACGTGATGTGGCTGGTGATGTGCGTTGATCGCCACATTTGTTGAACCCTTTCGTTCGTTCCTTCCTTCTGTATTCCGTAAAGTGAGTTCTGTTGGTTCCTCCGTTGTGGCGCAGCTCACCCTCTGCACTCCAGTCCGCTTCCATGACCCCCAAATCCAACATCGTCCAAGGAGGACTCCAAGCAACTGAATTCAACGTTTCGATCGCATCCTATTCTGCGCGTGTATACGCGTCACATGAGTTTCTGAATCCCTTCCGTCTGAGTTTGTGGCCTTTTGTCGCCGGGAAATGGGCTATGATGGCTGTGGACGCCCATCCCGATGCGCAGGCCACGGTGACAGACTTCCTGGACTACACGGAATTCTTCCCGTCAGATCTGATCCGGTCTCTCTCCCTCGTCAGCAAGCTGGATGAAGCCTACAAGGCCAGCGCTGCACGAGCGCATGATTTGTCCGCCCTCTATGGCTCGATCCCCGACCTTCCTGAATCTGAACGCCCCGACCCACATGATCTGAGAACACAGGTTGCGCACGCCGTTGACTATGCGCTTCACTGTCGCGAGTGCGCTCACGCAGAGGCCGCAAGGCTCTATGATATTGCGGAGCGGCACGGTGCGCGACTGACGGTCATCAAGAAGAAGCTCCAAGCCCTACCGCAACCACCCTCCCGAGACCCAACCCCCCCACTACACGCGTCACCTCAGCTCTCACGGATCCGCAAGGCAGAGGCAGAGAAGACAACGCGCCTGAAATTGACGCTCGATGGAAGACGTGCGTCGACCTCAACGTCAAGGAAGCGCAAGAAGGACAGTGTTCCACCAGAAATCCTGCCTCCGGAGGAGATCCCTGAGAGTGACGTCGTTGAAGATGAATCATCATCAGTGCAGTCGGAAGGGGAAGAAGAAGAGCCTCACATGCCGATTGAGACGTCTCCGCAACCGCAGCCACGAGTACATCCCACGTCGGGGCGGATCATCAAAATTTCCAGCACGCCGAAGCTACCCAAAACACCGAGGGCCCCCAAAACGCCTGGCCAAGGTTCCAATATTCGCAGCGCGGTTGCAGGAATCTCCACCAGCAACGCTCTCGCGAAGCTTACTCCGCCACCGCCGGAAGCCCAACCAGGAAGTAAGTGGCTCCCGTGGCATAAACTCACAGAGTTCGAGATGGCGAAGTTGAGGAAGCAGATGAAGAAGAACGCAATCTGGACACCGAGTGAGACTATGATTCGACGCGAGCTGGACAAGTACGGTCGCGGTTGGGAGAATTATGTGAAGGCTAAAGCTCATGCAGAGGCGACGGGTGAGCCATTCTTGGACGAGGATCCAGTAGACCCCAACAAACCAATCCTGGCACCCGGCGAAGTCACGTTCAAAGCGATGGGCGACGACGAGTTGAAATTCGTCAACCGAGGCATGAAGCTCAACGATGCGAAGAAGCGTAAGAAGGAGCTGCTGGCTCGCGAAGCGCACAATTCCCAGGATCAAGTGGAGATGGAGGAAGCCAGCCGCAAGATGCTGCAAGCGGGTAATCTAATCAAGAACCTCTTTGCTCGATATGGTCACGATTTCTCACCCAGCCGCCAAGAACCCCCTTCGTCGAAGAAAGACACGAAGAGACCGTCCAGAAAACGAAAACGATCGCCAAACGCTACGCCAACCGTCGACAGCTCATCGCTTCCTCAGGCACTACAAGACAGTCTTCAAGGCCAACCGAAGAAGATCAAGCTCACCAACCTTCCCTCCACATCAGCCACGCCATCCTTAACCTCCCCACCAATCGCCGGGCCATCGACGACCGTCACGAGGACCACTCAAGTACCACTTGCACCAGCTGGGCCTTCGGCATCTCCCCCGGCTTCATCTACTAGAGCATCGACGACCACAAAGTCCACCCACAGCATATCCCCTATGGAGAGCAAGAAATCCATGCTGCCTTTCGTCACAGCCGCAGCCAGTCGTCCACGCCGTGGATCCGTTGCGAGGACCTCACAAGGGGGTTCGGATATTGTGGCTTCTACAGAGACTACTACACCAGCAGGAAGCACCAAAGGAGCGGGTGCCGCGCCGGCAGGAAAAGTTCCAGCGATCGCTCCATCCACTCGGACAAGCGCACGTCGTGCCGCCCATCCTCACGGCGTATTCTCCACGCCTTCCACCGCCGCGGCGAGGAAAGACAGCATGAAGGCTGCCAGCGCCGAGCCGCCGACCAAGTTCCCCAAAATCACCATCCGATCTGATCGGCGAGCCTCGAACGCCGGCCTCCCTCTCGGGCTCCGATCAAGCGGTCGTTTGACCGGTCGCCAGCGCGAAGCCCCCGAGCCAACCACCACGACACGGCGAGGACAAGGCAGGCGACCGGTGCCTGGGCTGGTTCTGGATGAGGAGGGCGCCACAGGCAAAGGAAAGATCAGTTTGGGTCGCCGGATCGCTGCGCCGACGAAGAAAGGGCAGGCGAAGAAACTGGCGGCGGGTGCGGCTGGGAAAGCGAGCAAGGCGGATGAGGTGGATTATGAGGCCGAGAATATCGATCCGGATGAGCCACGATATTGTATCTGCAACGACGTGAGCTGGGGGACGATGATTGCGTGCGAGAACGACGATGTAAGTTCATGTTTTATAATGCCGCAAGCGGGCAGGCTGACTTGACTTTTTGTAGTGCGAAAAGGAGTGGTTTCATCTACCATGTGTCGGCCTCGAGCAAATTCCTCCAAGGAGGATCAAATGGTACTGTCCGGACTGTCGCAAAAAGCTCAAGATCGATGAACGCGGAAATCCGACAACATCGAGTGCTGTGCGGGCGAAGAGCCGGTAAGATACGATGAACACGCACACATCCTTCCCAGAGTGTCGATATGAGAGTCGCGGCCCCATCGAGTTGCTAGGCGTTAACCTGATCGTTTAGCAACTCATACCTCCCCTCTATGGCACCTCCGACGATCTATGACACAATCAAGCGTCGCAGGCGCTCAGATTGACCGGTCGCCGGCCGGTGTTGAGGTGGTTTCTTTGGGGGCTGGTCAGAGTATTGTTTATGGTATACATACATTTGTTTCAGACAGTGGGAGGCATGGAGTTTATTGCGGGTATACCCAACTAGGTAGCATTGACACTGGGTTCTTTATAGATACATGCACACAATTCATAATGCACGTCGATATTTACAGTTCGTACTCCGTATGGTGTCTCCTACTCCAACCCTTGGCCCTTTTCGAGCAGATCGACACCTATCTCCCGCAGCTTGAACTTCTGAATCTTTCCCGACGCCGTCTTCGGATAGGTGTCCACCCAAAAGACAAATTTCGGGACTGCACACCGTCAGTATTTCTTTCCAATGCAAGACACCAACCGAAAACTTACCCAAATGATGACTGAGCCTCTCCTTCACCCACTCCCGTACCTCGTCTGCGCTGACCGCCGCCCCCTCATGCCTCACTACAAACGCCGCCACCACCTCCCCATACCGCTCATCCGGCAACCCTACTACCGCCACCTCCGCCACCGCCGCATGCGCAAACAGGCAATTCTCCACCTCCAGCGGATGAATGTTCTCCCCCCCCTTGATGATCAGATCCTTGATCCGCCCCGTGATCCGCACGTACCCCTCCGCGTCCATCTCCCCTTCGTCCCCCGTGTGCATCCACCGCCGCCCCTCCTCGTCCACCACCAGCACTTCCGCCGTCCGCGCCGCGTCGCCCCAGTACCCTGTCATTACGTTATATCCGCACACAGCGAGTTCTCCGCGCTCCCCGACGTCGAGCGCGCGAGTCCAATCGCGTGGATCGACGATCTTCGCTTCCACGTGCGGGAGCAGTCGGCCTACGGTGTCGATGCGCTTCGCGATCGGGTCGTCGGTCGTGGTCATGCAGCTGACGGGGCTGGTTTCCGTCATGCCGTAGCAGATGGTCAGCTCAGTGAGGTTGAGGACGCGGTGGAGCTTGCGCATCATCTCGGCGGGGATGGAGCTGCCGGCGGCGATGCCGGTGCGGAGGGAGGAAAAGCCGCCGGGGGGGAGGAGGGAGGGGTTGGCGGCAAGGAGCTCGAATTCGGCGACGAACATGGTGGGGACGCCGTAGAGGGCGGTGCAGTCGTAGGCGGAGAGGCATTGGAGGGTGGCGAGGGGGTGGAAGGTTTCGGCGGGGAAGACGATGGCGCTGCCGTGGGTGGCGGTGGCCATGTAGCCGAGGATGCAGCCGAAACAGCTGTGGAATGTCAGCTGCGATGCTTTTCAGGGGGGTTCTGGGACGTACTGAAATAGTGGTGGTGGGCAGCAGACGACGTCCTTTTCGGTCAAGAGCATGCGGTCTCCGATGCTATTCCCGTTGTTGAGGATGCTCCGATGACTCAGACACGCAGCCTTTGGCATCGATGTCGTCCCGGACGTAAACTGGATGTTAACAATATCGTCAGGATGGAGCCCCTGATCAGGTAGAGCACGCCCTAACATCCCTTCTTCAACCACCTGCGGATAGGAAATCCCTGCTTTAAAGACCGAGGTATCGATCCGGCCGTCAGAGTTGTTCACTAATACTAGGCCTTTTAACGATGGGACGATCTCGGACTGTAGCCTGGTGCCTTCGAGATTCGGGATCAGTTCACGAAGCAGCGGAACGTTGGATCGTGGCTCTTTCCGGGGGAGATTGGTCTCTGCCCCTATGATCAGGTGGGACGCTTCCAGATGATTCAGTGCGGATATGACTTGGGGAGAATTGAAGCCCGGGTTTAACGGGACCTGTTGGAGGGGATGAGCCACTGGAGTAGATGTATCTGGAGCACTCCATGGAAGTGTCGCTCACCAGGATTGCGCCGAGTTTAAAGGCGGCATATGTTGCCTATATCGAATCAGTAATAGTTCCAAAAGCGGGCTGGAAAGAACTCCTACCGTGGCGAATTCGACATTATTCCCAAGACTCACGGCGATTCGATCCCCCTTTTTCACGCCCTGTTTTATGAGACCAAGCGCCAGCGCGTTGCTGTCTCGGTCGAGTTGATCGTACGTGACTCTAGCTCTTTGATGATGGGATATAACCCTTTAGTATACAATCCAGTTGCCGTTAGAATCATTATACTCGATCAATACAGATGTCCGCAACCACTCACGCCGGGCGATCTCCATGCTGTCTAACCACCGAAGCGAATTGCTCGCCTACGGTTTGCTCGAGGAGCGGTGGCTACATGTAAATCAGCATTTGCTTCCCACTTATATATCTAAATTCTTTAGAAGTAAATACCTCTGACGGCCCCTTCGCCCACGCCTTCGTCAGCAATCCTCGACAGGTCTGCCGAGTAACCGGTCGAGGTCCACGCAACGCCCAGGACAGCCGCGACGCCTGCCACATGGTTTAAACAGCGCCGGTCGCATGGAGAGGACCGAGGCCGCGGAATATGAAGACGTTAAAACCCCAAAATGTCCTGATTTCTCGCATCCAATGTCGTCTCTGGATGATCGGAGGTCGAGATTCTGTCGGCGGGGTTAGGGACCGAGGACACAGTGAATACGAGAAGCTATGCCCGCGGTTTAGACGCTGGCAGGCCCCACACTCGGCGTCACTCGACGACCCACGTGCCCCCCGCCACCTCAGTTGGCGTTCCCCGCGTTCTGGTGCTCCATGTCGGGAGTTGAGATCAACTTTTACCCCATTGACACTTTGCATGTACCACAGTGGAGCGAAAGCGTCCCTTATACTGACGATTGGAAATTCATAAATGCATTACTCCGGTTCGATGAACGAGCAAGCTCCCCAAAGCACTTGGGACGATGTACCTTGGTGCGACTGCCCGTTGTGCCGGAACTTGAGGGTCCAGTTCCAACTCCGCTGACCATGCGGCACCCATCCAGCCTGTGTCGAAATTATAACAAAGGAAAATATGGTTGGGGAAATTCCCACGGAGCACATGGAGGAGAATTCCTCGCAACCTATTTCGACTCGTCCGCCTCAGGACTCTCATCCGGACTTTCCTCCTTCGAACCGCCTTACCTTTCCCCCGTCTTGGATTCATATGGCTCCTCCTCCTTCCCAGCAGCCTTCTCGATCGGTAATAGACTGCCTTCGTGGGGATTCTCCAAAATTTGCCTGAAGAACCACGTAAGCGACTTTACGACTGGCGTGACAAGTTAGTCGCTTGTTTTCCAGGTCGGGGTGTATGGCAATCAGCAGGGCGATGAGAACAACGAGGATGCGGCAGAGAACGTAGAGGAAGATGGCGATTCACATGATTGCGGCGAAGGGGATTCAGATGTTCCGGGCTGTTTGCAGTTGGTCCAACGCATTGTTGATCTCTTTGGAGTATGGCATCCCCATGATGAGACACGGAAGGACAACGAAGAGGAATTGAAGAGATATTTCTAGAGTTTCAACGATTGTGTCTAGTCGCGATGTATCCCTTCGCCCATCATCAAAGTGTGCACTAAACTAGAATAGGTATGGCGCCCTCTTGCGGCGTGGATCCCATCATCCAACCCACTTTTCTACCAAATCGCGTCGCTTGTAACGCTACTGCGTCGACATCGTTGTCGACAAATTTACAGTGTGTATAGAATGCTGGAATAGCCGCTACAATGGGTTTAGATAGCGCAATTAAGAGCGTATTTAGCAATATCGACGCAGTTGCGTTCCTACCAACGCAATGGGTTAGATCCCTTCCGAAAGAGCGCGCCGTCCCTATTCTGGTTTAGTGCACACTTTGGTGACGGGCGAAGAGAATAGCACCTCGTCGTCGATATTTCCAAACCCTGTGCTCCCGATCGTGTCGAACTGGCCCAATTCATCTGTCAATAGGAGCGACAGCCTGACATGTTGATGCCTAAATCACACGCGATTTACGACAGAGTGATTCTGTGGCAGGCTAGGACAAAGACGTTCATCCGTCCATGAATGAGGCTTTGTTTAGGACGCGTGGACCTCGTCCCTCAAAGCCTCAAAGCCGACAATTGGGTTCGTTGAGACATTTCAAAGACAGGGAATGAGCTTATTACCCTCGAGCAAAAATTAGGCTATGATGTTTGATGGCATAACCCCTCGGGCAGAAGAAGAGATCCTGTTTCCCGCAGAAGCAAGTTGTTGAAGTTGGACGGTTGGTCAGAGAGTAACCGACGATCCCATTCTCACTATAAGCTCCAGTCATGTGATACTATGGCTGTGCAGTACATGCGCCACAGGTAGCGTTAGAGCCCATTGATTGGTCAACAGAATCGCGCGCAGAGACTCCACAGCGCGCAGGAACGGACCGTGAACCAATCATAGCTCCGACCCACGTTCGGCTTGAATCAACTCCGAAACCCTTCATCAACGACATGAATCTCCTCTCCTTCATCTCTCATGCTATTCTCCTCACAATTCTCCGAAATTATGGGTAAAGTGTGCATGAACTCCTCTCTCCACCACCAGATCTCTCATGATCTCCCGATGGTTCTACGGGATGTGGTGCTAGCGTTGCATCTCCCGAATGCCCTGTTCTAGCCCATCCTTTGCTCCGTACGGAGGTGTTCGTGCGGCAGTGGTCGAAGCAGATTCCAGAACGATATGACATTCTCACCACTTGTTCTTCATCTACATTGCTGCGTGTGTTGATCTCTTAGAATAACTAACATGCCTTGTCTTTGTGTCCCACGTTGTTGCATCCTTTGTCCGTCTCGTTCAAACCAAGACAAATAACACGCTCTTTACGGAGCGGCTAACTTCAGGACTTTGTAACACGGCATGGTGTTGGGACTCTTCCTTGAATTTGTAGCAGACGGCCAGGCCCTTCAACTCATTTTTGGGCGGTTATGTCTGACGCCTCGAATCTCGATCTCTCGTCGACCCACATCTTAGCAGAGCCGCTTCACAGTCAAGCTTTTTGCGGTTTCGCGCCTTCACTCTCCATGGCCGTCATTGGCTGTGACGGGTCCATATGTTCGCGTCTGTAGCACTGTCGCGTGGGTGAGTCGTCTGTTTCAAGATGGTCCGTCTATATGTTTCTTCCTCCCCGATATTCAAGAAGGTGATCGTTCTGCAACTGCTTCTCTTCCTCGACACGTTGTTCTGCTTGGGAGTCGTACTTTGTTCTTTTTGTCTTCGCTGGTCGTCTGCCTTTCTTCGATTCTCCGAGCGCTGGTCGCAGGGTTATTCACTTCTATTGCCATGCTGCTTGAATACAATGATTGCCTTTGTTAGCCGATCGAGTCATGAAAGAACGGGTGACAATAGACAATAGCTATTCACGGCTATTCACTTCTTCCACTATTGTTCTCGAGGCCTCAATAGCAACCCGGCTCCTATCTTTCCCTTCTGTATAAGTGCTTTCGATCTCCACATCATCTTTCGAGGACATCTTCATACTCACAAGACTCATTTACTTCACACCGATTTCAACCCACATAATTTTGATCTGCGTCAACGACGGAGAACACTCATACACACCCACCTCTCAGATTCATACACGGTCTGATTTCAATTCCACTAGATTCAACCAAGCTGGTTCTTGTACTTTCGGATACACCGACCCATTCCGAGAACCCAATCCTTCCTGTCACTTCACCTCCTGCGACTCATTACCAGGAAGCTCAGACTTCCCTTCGAAAGACACTTTTTAAAAGTCTAACTTCTTCCGGCCACAACTTGAAACCTTTTCTTCAAGGAATCAACTGGACACAACACCAGCCATGCACACTAAATCTACTCTAACTGCCCTTTTCGGCACAGTCAGTCTTGCCTCTGCCCACTCGTGGGTTGAGCAGGCTCAAGTTATCAACAATGGCGTCTATGTTGGCGACCTTGGCTTCGCTCGAAGCTGGGGTATGCCTATGGACGACCGCAAATATCAAATCCCAGGTGCAGGGGCAAACCGCCCTAATCTCGCACCAGAGGATCTGCTGTGTGGTCCAAACGAACGTGCTTCAGTACAGCAAGGGTCCAACAACCCCCGCCTCCAGGCATCCCCAGGAGACTTCGTCGCGCTCAAGTACCGCGAGAACGGACATACTACGACGAACTACGAGCCGCTCAAGGTTGGCACGCTTTTCCTGTACGCGACCGAGAACCCCAAGGAAGACCAAAAGCTTATGGACGCTTTGGACTGGACAAAGGACGGCTCTCTCGACGAAGGCCGACTTCTCAACGAGCAACCGTTCGACGACGGACGGTGCTACGAGCATAACCCTGGCAGCACCGCCAACGCCCAACGCGCCGGGAAATTCCCAAACGACAACCAAGGTGCCAGCTGGCTGTGGTGCGAGTCCGACATCCAAGTCCCCACCGAAACCGCCACCGGTCAGCCCCTGACGGTCTACTGGGTCTGGAATTTCACCGCGCCGAACGGCGCCGCCGAGTGGTACACCTCGTGCCTGGATTTTGACATCGTCGACAAGCCCGAAGTGCAACGCACCGCCAACGCGACTCCGCAGCCCGCGCAGCCGCTCCAGGACACCAACACCAAGGCGCTCGCGAACTACATCGAACGCGCCGGCGGCACTGAAGCACCGGCGAACACCGCGGCTCCTTCTGCGTCCTCTACTCCTTCTACCCCCTCTACCTCTGCTGCGCCCCCACTGCAATCCTCCGCCCCCCCCGCCTCCTCCCCGCAGGCCCCATCCTCCAGCTCCAGCTTCCGCCACTCGAATTCGCCCGCGAGCTCTCGAGGCCCCACGGGTCCGATGCGCTACCCAGGCTACACTCTGATCGGTAGGCCGACCAGCTTTCAGACCTCGTACAGGCCGACAGGTGTCCCTAGCGCTTCCGGCACTGGCAGTGGTGATGTAGCGGGACCGTTGACCATCACGGTTACGGAGATGGAAACGGTATATTTACCCTCGCCGACGGGGACCTAGGGGTACTCAGATGTTGCTTGAGGTCCTTTTTGTAACAACTACATACTGCATAGCGACGGATTGGGGGAGGCGGTTCACTTGCTTCTTTGTATGATATTTCTTTCGATTTGGATAGTTACAATGGTAGAATGTTAGGGATACCTTGGTATTGTGTTTGATCACGAGTAACTACGATGTTCCTCTAGGATTTTTCTAGTAATCTGGGTTTCTCATTAGTTCGTGATCGTCGACCGCTTCTCCGCTGTAGGCCTTTGGGTCGATGGGACTTGGTTTTCGATATGGTGCATATCATGGCTACTGTGGCATGGTTACTCGCAAGCTTGGGCAGTTGACGACCTAGACTCCAACCTCCAGCCAACCGCCGAGCTTGTTTATGTGAATATATAAACGTCAACACATATTTGAACCATCATCTATCACTATGGATCTTTACGCTCGTATACTGTACCGTATAATTCACATCTACGATCTTCATGACTAAATAGCCCAACAACTCACAAAGTCACAATAGTAGGGGATAGGGTTAATAATTCACTTCAATTGTCGATATATGAAGAGTGCTTGCGTGTGGTTGATCAATTTTACACCCAGAAGCAATAGAGATGAATTGTTCCCATGCTCCAGTCGGTGATTTCGATCCATGTGGCTGCTGCCGCTATCATTCCTCGTACAATAGGACACCTATATTAGAGGTAATATGCGTCTTGAGATTCTCCATCCCGGGAATTTGAACCCGCAGATGAATGTTCACCGTCAAGGTACCGTATCCTGTGCGGGTGTTTCTAGGCACAGTTCAAGCTCACCGGCGTCCATAAGATTGTTTAACCCCGCAACACAAAGTTGGATTCGGGTTAGAAGGCATGCCGATGACATTGCTCGCTCTCCGCCTACGCACCTTGCCGTTGCTATTATTATAAGTGTGCAGCATTCGGCGGGATAGGGCTAGACCAAAACCAAGACCCCAGAAATGCGGCAGTCGTGGCGTTCTTGGCCTCTGTGACCGCATAGCCGGATGACGAACTGGCGCTCCCATGCGGTTACTTGCGCGATGATGCACGATCGCCACCTGACCAGGGGCAATGCCACGCGGATGAGACGACGTGACCTTTCCTTTTGGCCATCCCCTGGGGGAATGACAACGCATTGCTTCTGCGATGAATATGTTGAGTTCCAGCGCCGGGGTCACTCATCCGTCGTTAAACCGGCTGGGTTCTTTCAGGGCGGTTTTCGGCTTCGAAGTCTGCGGTCGACGCCGAGTAGCGCCTAGTAACCTTAGTCGCTGATTGTTCCTCCGGACTCGATCGGCCCAGTCCCTTCGCAAAGTCAGCAACTAGTTAAAATTAGGAAAAAAGGGCGCTTACGGGTCGATCAGCCACTGCTTGACGCGCTCATCGAACTTGTGGCCCATGAACATCTTCCAGATCAGGCTTAGCGGGCCGTACTCTTCCTGCAGCAGTTGGGAGTAGGCGAAGGGGATTTTGGCGGGTTCGCCTTCGAACTTGGAGTCGCGGAGGGGGAAGATGTCGTCGGCGAGATAGCGGTGCTTGTCTTTGCAATACATGATTTTTGGGTTCGAGATGTTAGTTCGGAGCGTCGTGATGTCGATGAATAGTCCGGTAGACATGTCTAAAGGTCTGGTTAGAGAAAGGGAAGACGTCAAGCGGGAAGTGGCATACCGATCCATCTGCCATCAATAACATTCCACTTATCGGCAATTGAGTCGTTCTTGTAGAATGGATTGATCTCCAATAAATATCTCCGATGCTGGACTCTCTCCTCCTCCATCATTTCCGGCTTATAATCCGGTACCTTCAACCCACCGCCCAGCCCGCTGGCCACCTCCACCGTCCCCCCCGAAACATGCGGCAACGTCGTACCATCCGGACTCGATCCCTCCTCTCCCCACGGCGCCCTCGGTATCTGGAACTGATGCACCGTCATATTATAGTACCCCGCCAGATGCTCGATGCCACTCTCCGAGACCTGCACATCGATATCGGTGTCCCATGGCATGATATGCCCATTCCACCACCACCCGAGCAGCGTCCCGTGCATGATCCAGGTCTCGGCGCCGAGATCGTCCATGGCGCGGAGGTACGTCTTGACGAGGAGGCGGAGGGTGTAGTGGCGCTCGGCTTCGAGGAGCTCGCGCGCGGCGAAGCGGCCGTCGTAGTGGTGATGGAACTACGGCTCGTGTTAGTGGGTTGCGGCATTGGGGAGATGGTCGGGGGGTTGGGGTTACCTTTGCTTCGTGGAAGTACTTCTGGCCGCCATCCGGAGTTGGTCCCCGGTCGCTGTTGTCTTCGGTTAGATATGTCCGTACGTTCCAGAAGTCGGCATCGCGCTTCTGGAGTTGCGGAATTGCGTGGACAAGTCGTATGGAGATAAATAGTACGGCGAGGATCAGCGTAACTCCACTTAGAACCGACATGGTGAATGGCCGATCCCACTGTTGATCATCTAGAAGTTACAACACTCCATGGCAGGTCGCCCACAGAGCGTACTAGTAGCTTCAAAGAAAGATACCAGTCATCAAACATTGAATCACCAGGGGAGCATGGAGAGTGAGTTATCTATCCATCCAAACTAGAGGTCTTAAGGGCATGTTCCTTCAGGAAGCTCTTCCTCCCGCTCGTATTGATATCGCCATGGACTAGGAGTATCTAGCAGACCCTGGAACAACTCGATCATGATTGGTCAATCACATATCTTCAGTCCCCCCAGACGATAAGCCCCAGAGAATATCAACACCCGCAGATGTGGTCTGATATTGCATTCTCAGTCGGGATTCGAAGTAATAGTAGCTCCAAACGAAGAATCATACACCGAAACTCATCTCCGATGTTAGAAGTCACGTGCAAGAGGGGGAGTTGAGAGAATCAGGCAGAAATTTCTGGTCAGGCACCGAAAGACCCCTGCCAGGTTTGTCAGCCACATCGTCGACTTTAACGCCACATCCAGACTTCAGCGATGCTCGGAACTTTGCGTCGCATCGCATATCCTTCGACCTCAAAGATCGACACCCTCAAGACACCGACGTCCAACTACCGCTTCCCACCTCTCCTTCATTCCAAAGCGCTTCCAGCACGTACCGCCATTATGGCCAACTATCTCGCCTCCATCTTCGGCACCGAACAAGACAAGGCACGTCCACCCTCATCCACTCCATCCACCCACCCACTTACTAACCCCATCGCAGGTCAACTGCAGCTTCTACTACAAGATCGGCGCCTGCCGCCATGGCGACCGCTGCTCGCGCAAGCACGTCAAGCCATCGTACTCGCAGACGATCCTGCTGCCGAACCTATACCAGAACCCGGCGTACGACCCCAAAGGCACCAAGATGAACCCGCAGCAGCTACAGAACCACTTCGACGCGTTCTACGAGGATATCTGGTGCGAGATGTGCAAGTACGGGCTGATCGAGGAGCTGGTGGTGTGTGATAATAACAATGATCGTAAGTGGCGCCGCGCCCCTCGCATCTTCATTTCCTTGCTCCTTGCGGTTGGTTTTCGCGTTTGGAGATCGTCGCTGACACGTTGAATCTTCTCGAACAGACCTAATCGGCAACGTGTACGCCCGCTTCAAATATGAAGAAGACGCCCAAGCCGCCTGCGACACCCTCAACTCCCGCTGGTACGCCGGCCGCCCCATCTACTGTGAGCTGTCGCCCGTGACGGACTTCCGCGAGGCGTGCTGCCGGCTGAACTCCGCCGAGGGGTGCGTACGTGGGGGCTTCTGCAACTTCATCCATCGCAAGGAGCCGAGCGCCGAACTAGATCGGGAGCTGGAGCTGGCGACGAAGAAGTGGTTGCGGGAGCGGGGGCGGGATCAGCGGAGCGCGACGAGGAGTGCGAGTCCGGAGCCGACGAGGAAGAGGGGTTGATATGGTGGTGTTGGGGGGGTCCGCTTGTGCTATGAGGATAGTTGAACCAGGTCCACCTCGGATTAGCTGAGGTGGGACTACTGCATAGGGTTTGGAGTCTGGGAGTCACGGGTAATTTGTTCATCGTCTGTAGGAGGTAAAAAGGGATGATCTATTGCAATCGCTGCAGCGACCGATTCAATTGCGCTCCATTACTTAGTTAATACCAAACGTTTCGCAAGATCCAACGAGATTCAACGATGCGATGTGTATGAGGCCTTTGAAGTCAATTACAAATTATGGAATTTCAAGCCCATTATCATAGCTTCTCTTCCACCGGTGCTTCCCGCTCACACCTCGCACAACAACACTCGAACCCCCACTCCACCTTCAACCTCCCCTGCCTCTCTTCCCTCGTCATCTCCCCCTCCTCGCCCCCGAGATAACTAATACACAACTCCTCCCCCTGGCGCACTTCCCTCGCCGCCCAAAACCGCCACTCCCTCCCTACCCGCTCCTTCGCGACGTTCGGCTCGCACGAGTGGTTGAAGAAGCTCGCTTCAGGCCACAGGCCCCAGCCGAAGTACTCGGACCGGTCGGGGTCCTGCGCGACGGGGGGTCGGAGCCCGAAGGCGTTGCAGGCGGCGACGGCGGTGAGGGTGTGGGAGAGCTGGGTGGAGTCGTTGCGCGTGGTGAGGGAGCTGAGGTTGAGGAGCATGGCGAGTTGGAGGTGGGCAATGGTGTGGAGGGCGAGATCATGGGCGGAGGGGTAGGCGGCCTGGGACTGAGCGAGGTGACGGAGGCTGGTCTCTAGGGGAGTGGGGGGGAATGAGGTGAGGCCGTTCCCTGAGAGGGCATGGTGTCCTGAGGCGAGGAATGACAGCGTGTCGGGGTGGACGGTCGTCTTTGAGATAGCATGTCTAGCCCCGCGGGCGTCTTTGCAAGGTGGAAATATTCCGGGGCGAACCAGTGCCAATTTGGTGGAACACTCTTCCCAGGCGTTTGATATTTCCAGTGGCGAAGGGCGTCGATCGTCCGCGTTCGGGAGCTCGTCCAGTTCGGCTGATTTCCCATGTCGTTTCTTGATGTATGTCTCCAGCGGCTCCCACACCACCGTCCTTGTGAGTCCGTTCTCTAGATTCCACGCGTTTTGACAGGTGAGGGAGCAGAAGGAGAAGCCGGCCAAGGAGTTCCGGATCCGCAGATTCTTCCCATCGTCGTAGAGGAAGCAGTATCCGCAGACTTCTCGACGATATTCCCGGTTGATGGTATACATCGGAACAAATGAAGTCGAGAGAAGTGCCGTCGAATCCGGCAGGTGCTGTAAGGCGAAAACGCCATTTCCTGCCCCTGAGACTGGTTTGATCACCCAGAGAGGAGAAGTAGGGGGTAGTTGAGGGGCGTCTTCGGCTACCGGTAAGGAGTGGTTGTTGATTGACTCCGTCATGGTGTCTGTTGTGGTCATATTCTCGGCCACTGGATTGCTTGACTCCGACTGACGACTGATGATGAGTGCTGATGAACGCGAAACTCGATAGTCTAGTAGACAATAGAAGAGAAGAAGAACAAAGTCGAAATAGAAATAGTTGCCCTAGGTCAGGACCATCATTGTACCTTATTCATGGTCTGTAGAGAGTCTATTGGGAGGATGGGATTCACAGTAGAGACAATAGGGACAATAAGGAACAATGACCGGATCCCGACAATTGACTCCAAACTCGCAAGAGATGGGAAAGAGATGATAAAAATCTCTTGGCTCTTCAAAACTTCCGATTCGGTCTCCTCAAACCCAAATCTGATTTAGTCTCTTCGATTCGTTTGGTTCCGGTTAGCAAAAGCGAAAAGATTTTCTAACTCATTCCACGATGGCAGGCCATCATACGCACGAGGAGATGGATTTCCTCCTGGACATCGCTCTAGGGAAAATCTCAGCCGATAAGGACAAAGCTGAGAAAGTCATGAGGAATGTCACTAAGGACATTAGCGACGGGAGTTTGATTGGGCTGGTCCCCAATCAACCTACCGGCGCCCAAGCGACGTATGGGGGTGATGCGAAAATCCTCAACGTCAGACAGTTCGCGCAGTTGCATCGAGGGCCTAGACCGCTGATACGTGATATGCTAAGGGCGTTCCGCCAGCACGTGATAGGACGGAGAGCGGAGTGGGGTTTCTTGGCTGAGGACGAGCTCCGCTATGCCGAGGATCAGCCGACGGGGTGGAATCCAGGTCCGCCGCCAACCAGGAGAATCCTCCCGCGCAGCTGGTATCCCAACTCCCGACCTCCTCTACTACCACGTCCCAGGTACGACTTTCGCATAAGCACCATTGCCCGTCATTTGCAGCGATACAAAGACGAGGAAGAGAAAGAGCGAAAAGACGACAGACGCAAGGCCCAGCCTTCGCATGTCAGGAAGACATCATGGCCGAAGAAAAGCTCGAACCCATCGACGAATTCAACGTCCGTGAGACGAAGCCGAAGAAGGTTGCGTACTTCTACGACAGTGATGTCGGGAACTACGCGTACGTAGCGGGACATCCTATGAAGCCGCATCGCATTCGAGTTGCTCACTCGTTGGTCATGAACTATGGCTTGTACAAGAAGATGGAGATCTATGTGAGTTCATTCCCTCCCTCATGGCGGGCTGCGGTGGATGCGCCTTGAACTCGCTTTCAATTAGCCTTTTGGATGAGTATGAACTGATGGAATGTCTTTCTCAGAGAGCGAAGCCAGCCACCAAGTACGAAATGACCCAATTCCACGCCGATGAATACATCAACTTCCTCTCGACCGTCACCCCCGATAATATGGATAATTACTCGAAGGAGCAATCCAAGTACAATGTTGGAGACGACTGTCCCGTCTTCGATGGTCTGTTTGAGTTCTGTGGCATCTCAGCAGGTGGCTCAATGGAAGGCGCTGCGCGTCTGAACCGACAAAAATGTGACATCGCCATCAACTGGGCTGGAGGGCTACATCACGCGAAGAAGTGCGAGGCGAGCGGGTTCTGCTACGTCAACGGTGCGCTACCCCGATTTTCCACATGAGAAACCCAGCTAACACTCATTTCTAGACATCGTCCTTGGTATCCTCGAGCTCCTACGATTCCACAAGCGCGTCCTCTACATCGACATCGACGTCCACCATGGCGATGGTGTCGAAGAAGCTTTTTACACCACCAACCGTGTCATGACATGCTCCTTCCACAAATACGGCGAATATTTCCCTGGTACTGGCGAGCTCCGCGACATCGGAGTGGGCGATGGCAAGAATTACGCCGTGAATTTCCCGCTCCGTGACGGCATCACCGACAAGACCTACAAGAGCGTTTTCGAGCCCGTCATCGAAGCGGTCATGAAGTGGTACCAACCGGAAGCGGTCGTCCTGCAGTGCGGTGGAGATAGTTTGTCGGGCGATCGTCTGGGCTGCTTCAATCTCACGATGAAGGGCCATGCGAACTGCGTGAGATTTGTCAAGAGCTTCAATCTGCCCACTTTGGTGCTTGGTGGTGGTGGCTACACGATGCGGAACGTGGCACGGACATGGGCGTTCGAGACCGGAGCCCTTGTCGGACAACCAATGCCTACCGTCTTGCCTTTCAACGAATACTACGACGTAAGTGTCTTCTTCCTCCTATCCAACACTGGGTTCCTCTAAACATGATGCAAAGTATTTCGCCCCTGACTACGAACTGAACGTCCGTGCCTCCAACATGGAGAACAACAACTCCCCCGAATACCTCGACAAGATAAAATACCAGGTCATCGAAAACATCAAGCGCACTGCCTTCAACAACTCCGTGCAAATGACCGAAATCCCCGGCGAGCTCCGCCCGGGTATCTCCTCCGAAGACGACGACATGCGCGACGACGAAGACGAGGACGCCTTCCCGGATGTCCGCGTGACCCAGCACCGCGAAGACCAACGCATCCACGACGACCGCGAGTTCTACGATAGCGACAACGAGGAGACAGAGCGGCCCCGGGCGCGACGGCGCCTCAGCCACCTGGGCGGGCGCATGGTCCTGCAAGATGAGCACGAGGACACCGAGTCCCGCGACGCTGTGATGGCCGACGGCGAGGACATCCTCGCGGAGATCGCCAAGGCCTCCGACGACATGAACGGAGACCCCGACGCCCTGCCCACCAACCACCCCATCGACCCCACCAAACCTCCCGTCGCCCCCATTAACGGTACCACCGCCCTCCCCACCCACAACGAACCCCTCGCCGACCTCCCCCCCGCCACCACCACCACCACCGCCGCCCTTCCCTCTCCCCCCACCGCCGAGGGACAGGAACCCCCCATCCTCCCCGCCCCCACTGGTACCCGCGCCGAGAACAAAGCCATCGAAGATTCCAAAGTCGCCGAAGCCCTCGCCGCCTCCCTCCCCACCGACCCCTCCGCCTCCCCCTCCCGCTCTCCACCCCCCGTCGCCCCACCTACCGCCGCCGAACCCGCGCCCCAACCGACAACTATCGTTGCCGAGCCCGTGCCAGAGAAGCCGACCACGGACGAGGACGGCGACGTGGCGATGGGCGAGGAGGACGCGAAGGACGCGGTTCCGGACGTGGAGACGGTAGAGGAGAAGCCGAGCGTGGCGAATGCGGTGGTAGAACGTGCGGACGCGCCGACGAAGGTGGTAGAGACGGGTGCGGACGCGGGGAAAGATACGGAGATGGAGACGGCGGAGACGGAGACGGAGCCGGTGGCTGCGGTAGCGGTAGCGGTGGCGGAGGCAGAGGCGAAGGTGGAGCAAGGGAGTAAGGAGGTTGCGAAGGAGGAAGTCGGGGAAGGGAGGAGGTCGGCGGAAGCGGAGGGTGGGGAGAAGGAGAAGGCGAGCCAGTGAATTCGAAGTCCGACAGGTCCGTTTTGGAATTTCTCCACCGTCATCTGAAGGAAGGGTCGATCGTTCTCGTTCCGGACCGCTTGGCAATGCGGGCGGTGCGGCGTCCCTACATCTATCCCTTCGGGGCTGACGGTCACGCATGTCCTTCGGTCGTCGTTGGTGAATTGATCGGCGGGATGGCAGGGCGTTTATACTCGGGGCGTACAAAAGGGAGAGGAGTCATACCATCGTTTCGTGGCAGCGACAAGCATATAGGAATTATTAGGATGCATGCATGCGTGCATCAGCAAGGAGTTATGTTCTCGTCGGGTTCGTCCTCGCTGGCGGACTGACCGTTGGCTGGCTCGCTTACAATCGCCTCGTTTCAATTACATGCCGTTCGGATGCATTCTTTCGCGATATACGGACACGGTCTACAAGTTTAGATAGACGGAAATTCGAATGAACGAAGAATTCATCGGTATATTTGTGGCGTTGGGCTGCAACTCGCTTTGCTTTTTTCGGGGCGGCCTGATCGATTATTGTGTTCCCTCCCCACACACGGGACCGCACTGGCACTCTGCCGCTGCTGCTGCGTCCTTGTGCCGAACCGCGTCGACGACCTCTATCCCTTCGCTTCTCTATTTACATGTAATAATCCCACTTGGCCGCGCGATGCGTCACCCCGATCCGGACGAATTGTCTCGCTTTTGCCGCGATGGAGTTCCGTTGCCGCAGGCATGATCGCGCGCAAAAACTCCGCTCATTACCGTCCATCCACTCCTCCGCTCCGGCCTCTCTGTTCCAAATCCCAAAGTTTTGTTGCAAATTCACTAGACAAAGACGGCAGTGAGACACATCTCCTCTGCTCTGCTTCCCAGCGCCGAAAAATATGACCCGGACCCGGAGAAAACGTCCCTCAAAAGTCTGCTGAAAAGAAAAATCCGCGACAACCATCCCGTCCACGTCATGATGCGTGAAGGATATAATTGATTTTGCCTTCAATGACCACCATGACCAACACAAAAGTACATTAGTCGGAGAGGAAAACAGAAGGGTTGACCAAACAAGTGTGCCTCGTGCTTTTGCTTCGAGGACGTGGAGAAGAGACAAGAAGTCGTCTCAGCTGGAGATGACGAAAGTCGGAGAAATTAAAAGAGTCTCCAGATCACCCCTCGCGTCCAACACATATATGTCCATGGAGTCGACAATCGCTTATGGTTGAACTCGGAGGGCTGACCTCAACATGAGAAGAATAAAAGAGCCAGAAAAGTGGCCGGATCTAATGGAGAAGACACGGGAAAGGAATTGCAGGAAACCCTGGGAGGAAATAACGCCGGACCCAATGACATGGTTTCGCAAAATCCGCGGAACCAAACAAGTAATGCAGTCTATTCTGGAAGGTGGGTCGACGGGTAGCCACACCGTGTATGGGGCGTCGCTACGTGATGGTGGCAACGTGGGAGTGTCTTGATCGAAATGTCCTCGGATCTGACGATGATTTCGACCGGAGAGGAAAGGAGATAGGATGGCGTTGCATGTCCCTCAGTCCGTCGGGCCTCTCTCGAATTTGATGGGATGGAAGAGTGTGCTTCGCAGGCACATGCGTCCGGAGCCGCTCACCTCGGCCATGCTGCCACCCTCGTTGTTCTCCTTGTACCCGAACCAACGCCGCCAGAGCTGACCACTAAAGCCACTATTGTAGTAGAAGGAGCTGCCGAGCTGGTTGTGCTCTCCCCATCCGAACACGCTGTCCTCGACCTTCTTTGGCCGGTTGAACACTTGGTCCATGTAGTCCAGGTCCCAGTTCCGGTCGAAGAAGACGGGGTGCGGGGCGTACACGCCTTTGAGACCGTGGTGCAGGGCGCATGAAGGTGGCCACATTTCCGGGAACATGGAGTGCCTCATCTGGTAGGTCTCGTTGTGCATGTAGTCAAGAAGGCGTTTGGAGAGTCGGCTGACAGTGATGATGGCGACTCGGCGAGGTGGGGCCGCGGCGTCAAGGGTGTAGCCGTTGATATCGTTGCGGAAGACCCAGTTGGTTTTGGTTGGGTCGAAGAGAGGGTTGAAGGTGATAAGGTCGGCCTCTTCGCCGACACCCCATTCGTACTTGTCATCGGCGTAGCTACGCGGCGGGAAGTTTTCGGCAGGCGAGGTGAGCATGCCGTTATTCGGGAAGACTGTGGGACCCCAGATGGGGGATTCTTGAGACAAGTTGGTCTCCTCTTCCACCATGCGGGCGAAGTCCGCCCAGCTGCCGTGCTTCTCGGGGATGTAGTAGCGAGCGGACCGCTCCCACATACCTTTGCGAGGTTGCTTGCGAGCCCAGTTGGCAACCTTGTCATTGAACTCGTAATAGTGGCCGGTGTAACGCAAGTCCATCTCCCAGTTCCAGTAATAGTCGTACTCAGGATGCTCCTGAGAGAACCATTGGAGAGCGAAATGAGCGCTGCGATAGACACTGTGCACCGGATGTTGGGACGGATTGTCGAAATTGTCCGGGAACGGTTCAGGATAGTACAGACGCATCAGTTGCTCGGACCAGAGGGTTGCAATCCCCCAGAATTCCTCAGGAACGTTCTCTTCCAAGGTCTGCTGGTAGATATCCGCATCGGTCCATATCGGAATGCTCGTATCCTTGACGTGGACGAGGAGATGCACATCGTATTCACCGCCTGACTTGATGTTGAGCTCGTTGATCATCGCTCGAATCGTGAGGAGTTGATGGTCATCGTAGCGATAACCGGTCCAAGTGCGGAGAATGTAGGCTTGACGAGATACCCGCTTCTTCTTGGGATCGGCCTGTGGCTCGAATCGAGCCTTGTTCTTCTTGGTGCATGCCTCCTGGGCCCTTCCCCAATTGACCTTTCGCCAGTCGGTCCCTCCAGCCATCATCTGATAGACTCGCTCGCTTCCCGCTCGCTCCGACTTGTCAGAGAGGCCAACACCGCCATCTCGGTGATCGTAGCCGTATCCGTACGGAGCAAATCGACCGAAACGCTCCCAGCAGACGTCTTCCGCCAGACCCAGCTCCTTGTAGGAACCGAAGAATGGAGCGGTCATGTTTTGAGGAACGCCAGGATAGGCATAAATGTCTGGAGGTGACATGGTCTCCGCCTCATCAAGGAAGCATTTTTGCATGGGCGAGTGGGCTTCGAGGTAGTCGTATGAGTCGTATTCCGGATACGGGTTGAAAGCAACCGGATCAAAAGGAGGCGTAGCCCCTGATGTTGCATCGTGTTTCCGTTCGGGCTCGGGAGCGGTCGCGTTGGATTGCTGTTCGGGGACGTAGTCTTTGAACGGCACGAGATTACCAACGCCATTCCAGTAACCGTTGAGTCTGTCAACACCAGTCAGCACGCCCGTTCAAGCAGCCTATTATACTCCAACTAAGGCTTTGCCTACCGGATAAATTTCTCCCACGGATAGGCTTGCCGTGGAGATGACTGCTGTGCTTGCCTTTGATGTCTCCTGTAGCCACCTGTCCCAACCAATCCCAGGAAAAACAGAACAACCGTGATCAGGATGAGGAGCCGTTGACGCGACATACGTCGGAAGTTGAAGCGGTCGGACCGCGGACTGGGGGAGCGCCATCGGAGCTTCTTGAGCGAGTGAGTGAAGGGAGGAGCGCCATTGGGGTTGTCGAAGCCCGGTAGCCGCTGATAGTCGAATGCGGAGAGGTTGGAAGGGAGTTTTTCAAGGAATCGCTGAGGGACAAAGTCCCCGACGCGTGGTGTTCTCATCTCTCGCCCCGGTTCTGTGTCTCTGGCATTACCGACGGTCGACGCTGTAGGGTCCAGCGTGTTCCCGTGCCTCGCGCGTGCGATGTTTAGGGAAGAGATGGCGATTATCGTGTCCTCTACGGTCTCTGGTGCGAGGCGAAAGGCGAGTCGCACAAGAAAATTCGCGTGAGAACACGTCAAGGGTCGGAAGAATGGTCGGTCGGATGATGAGATGGAGATGGGAGATGGGATATTATTAGATGCGACCGAGAGGGCCAAAAATAATGTATTGAGTAACCGAGCAACCCCAACCAATCTCCAATGGACAAGCGAGATGAGATAGCGACGAAAAAGACGAAAGAATTGAAGAAAGTGAAGATGCAAAGAATGTGGGCAAGGCTTCTATCGTGATGGAAGTGCAGGAAGTCGGATGGAGATGGGCGGAGGAGAAGAGGAAGAGGAAGAGATGATCGGGACGAAGGATGGGAAGGAAAGAGCGAGCGACTGGGAGGTGGCAGTGACGGTGCTGATTGGACGGGTTTTGGATGGAGCCCAGTGTTATCTGGGAATTGAGGAAAGAAGGGGGAAATTCAAGAAGAAGAGGAAAGAGCGATTTCAGGTTGGTGCTGTGCAGGCAACAGGAGAGTGAAGGAGGCTGGACCGGGAATCTTCGAGGAAGGTGCGGCAAACAACTACTGGATTCAACCAGATTCAAGCAAGCCCGATGATGGCAATGGAATGGAATTGGGGCGACTGGCCGAGACCGCGACAAAGACGAAGTCTGAAGAGCGATGAGAGATGAGATGTGGCCAACTACCAATCAGAGGGCGGCAATCCTGGTGAGCACCCATCGTTGTCGTGGAGTCGTGGGTCTTTTGGGCTGAGCATAGTGGCATGGCACGCATGGCTCTGGTAAAAGGGGCCCGGCATGGGATGGATTAGAGGGGGTCAACTGTCATGTCATGTATTGCTTAGAATGAGGTAATCATCCAGGTTAGGCATGGAACCGGTGGCCCTGGTGACACAATCTGCAATACGCGGGTTTTGCACACCATTAGTAGAGAGATTTACAGCATTTGTTTCGATATTGCTGACGCATGCGGTAATATTGAGCCATTGATTGGCCGATTTGTATTTTCCCTCCCGATATTCTCCTACTGCGTATACAGTTGTACTCCGTACTCATCTTTCGCTCCGAGTCCCACGCCAGCACGGGTCGTTCATCCATTGCCCTTCGTCATGATACCGAATTCGGGCATATCAATATTCAATGCCTTCGCCCCGAGAAAAATGTCTCATGACTTGGGAGGTGAGAATTCAAACTCCAAATGGCCATTCTGACGCTGATGCGACGAAACCACCCTCCGAATCAGCCGTTGGGTCATGGATGACCTCGTCACTTCGGAGTTCTAACCTCTGCTCGCAAGTCTCAGCTCCCCGTCTCCACTGATCATCTTTAGGCAAATGCCGATCAGTTTCGAACTGAAGGTTCAATCCAATAATCTTTCATATTTGAGACCCGCTCCCCTTTTCCCGAGGGGCTCGGCGTTGTACAGAGAGTTATTTTGGATTATACAGATGTATTGCAGAGATGCCATCGCCCGCGTTGAGAGGACAGATACTCCTGTGCGAGATCCATCTCAAGGTTCCTGTTGAGAGGAATGCAGGTTTGCGTGCAGAGAGTTATTGCCGACGTGCAGTAGGCCAACGCCATCGTGGACACTATCTCCATTCAACCCGCCCACCATCTCGAACTCGCTCCACGCCATATCCGTCATCCGCTCGCACCAAAACGACGGTTCGTCAACAGGTCCCAGAGCTGTCCCTTTGCCCCTGTCCCACTCTTCCCATTTCCAACCGCCTGCCACGCGTAAATATGGACGATTCAAGGCTATAGGGCACCATGTCTGCATCATCGATTAGAGAAATTCGGACTTGGGAACCGCGCGGTGCCGGTGACGTCTCGTCGGGTATTTTGTCCATCGGCATGGAATCCCTAATCGATAGTTATGGTATTATCGCCGTACCGCTCCAGGATACAGCGTGGCGCATCTGCATGCACGCCTCAACCCCTTGAAGATGTGAACATCTCGTCATTCGTCATCGACGACGCGTATCTAAGACCATGGTTGTTCTGTTATTATCGGACCGCCGAAACATGAATTACACCATCGTTCCCTAAATTCTAGTGCAGTGCTTAACTACTATCACCACGATAGATTGATGGAATTGAGCCCTGCATACAGTACAAGTAGGTACCCGATGGGGCGGTCGTGTCAGTATCTCATACCCCATTCATCAATCCCTACAGGATCAACGTCTCCATCTACCATTGTCAAGTCTTGGTGCTAGGTTTCTCCAACGATCCAACCTCCAACTTCAAGGCGATGGCCGTTCTACAGGCGTTCAGGACGTGTTCTCTGCTAGGTGAAAGACCTTAAAGGTATCTGAGTCCGGATGTCACAAAGCATTCTACTTGACTATCATCACAAGAAGGCTGTTGTGTTTTCTCCAACAAGGCACAAACTACATGTAGCTCTCTATCACTACGTCTATGCAAGGACAACTCCAGGCGAATCTAATACCGTAACTGACTGCGATTCCCTACCAGTGTCGGTAGTATCAATTCCATTTCCTGACTCATTTCGTACTTCAATCTCCACGCGTCTCAAGTCCATCGCAACTTTATTGCGATCCCCACCGTATCCTTGATGCTTCTCAACCTCGATTCGTCCCCACTCAGCACGAGCGGAAAATCGACGTTTCTCACAGCCCATGTTCCGTCAGAGACGAAGCTGGATTGATATACCATTCCTCTCGCATCACGATCCTGAGGACCAGTTCTAGGAGCAACGTCCATCTCTTGATGAAAATTTTCATCGATGCCCCTACGATGGTAACAGATCGTAGGTACTTAGTACCGCACTTAGTATGGCACTTCCCTCCAACAGACCACCGGAAGCGTCTTGCGTTCCAGTCGTACTGATACGAAAGGGGTATCGGTCAGTTCCTTAGCATGGACGCCCAGCCCCTGTCCCAGTTGACTTCGATTCTTCTTCCATTTCAGCTTTCGAAGTCTCATCCTCGATATCCTCTTCTCTTCTCTCGAATTTCGGCATCCCTTTCCCCTTTGGTCCCCATCAGCGGAGCACTACATGCCCTTAGTATCCCAGCCGGCCTCTTTCTCTTACTTATCCCTCTCTTGCTTGCCCCTCTCATTCAAGCCCCTCTCCTTCAAGTTCATCTCTTTCAAGTCCATCTCAGAACTGCCAAACTCATTGAAAAGGGGAGCTGGATTTGGATTTAGGTGCTTCCTGCGCTGTCTTTATACTTGCAACTGCATGTTAAAATACTCGATTCGATTCGATTCGATTATTTTAGTTCTCATTTAATTGTTCTTCGCTCCGCTGTGAATCCGTAGTAGCTAGAGCATTGTACTCAACCGAACGTTCGATCGGATAAATGCACCTGTCATGGTTCCTCTTGAAAATACATCCCCGTTGAAGGAAGGCCCATCTCATGTCTCAGTATTCTCTTACATAGATCGGGGGGTCTTCTGGACCCCAGGAGGCATTCATCACCGCCATTGATGGTCTGCTGTCTCCCCCTTCTATCTCCTCTATACAGCCTAGTAGGGCACGACTCCTGAGTAGAGTGGTTGGTTATAGGATTGAGATCAATGCTGGAACGGACTTGAATGGACTAGAGCAAACGGTTCCTCAACAGCTCAAGTCTCCATGGCGGCCAAGTCTAAGGATGGGGAGCGGCTGCGAAGGGCACTGAATTGAATAAAAATAGCCCAATCTAAGGAGAGTTCGGGGTCCTTGAAAATGTCCTTGTATGACGGGGTCGCTTTGGATAGATTGACAATGTTCTGGAACAGCTTCGCGGTAATGAGGTACGTTAAAACCGAAGGATTTGCGGGACCGTTGCGTCTTTGATCACTTTCATATTTTGATACTTTAGAAGCACTCCGCCATACTCTTTCAATCCGACATTCTCCTGGCCTCTGTCGGCGGAAATTGGTCTCCGCCTCAGTCCTCACCCCCAGTCCCAGTAGCACGGAGATTATTCAGTAAATACATAGCAAATGGCAATCGACATGTCCAGAGTTCCAGACTTCATGGTTCGCCTTTCAACTTCCGTTCAGTTATCGATTACTACGAACGGCTAGTTAGGAGGACTTTTCGCAGCCATAAGGTTAAGGTCGTTTCCGAAATGTTGCCAGAGACGGATATTCCCCTCTTTGGCGCTCGATATTAATAATATGACTGATCCTTCAATGTCCAGCACCTTTTCTATCCAGCGAACGGCGTCTTCTATGAGGCATCTCATAACCATTTCCTATTCAATATTAATAATAATAATAATACAGGATCACCGAGTGGCGAGCAGAGTACTGAGTCGGTAGCTTAGCAATTAGCACGTAATAAGCACTACATAGTTGGCATTTCAGTAATTAGCCCTAATTATGCCCCGACGTCAACGGTGACTCCTCCGGGTTTTGGCGGACGAACTGCAACACTTGCGCAATTTGTATTAGGATTCAGTTGCGCCTTACTGACCTGAAGGCCATTCATAAGGGTCCGTTTCTGTAGATATATCTATATGAGAGAATGGATTATGAGCCGAAGAGCATTGGACATATCGACGCCAGATGGTGAACATTCGTACCGACGTATGTAACCTAGGAAAGGCAATCCTCACAGCACCCCCTCAAAAGGCCCTCCTTCACAGGACGAAACCACCGAACGAACTCCTCAGATTCCAACGTTCCACAGAACCTGATAACCAAGCATGAATGACCCCTTCCAGCCATCTCAATATACCAATCCCGCCCTCCCTCAATTCCTCCCTTTGGACGGCATGCCCTCCATCAACCGTACCGAAGACTCCACCTCCCCGCCCACCGCCTCCAACGCCTCCGCCACCAACTCCGCTCCTCACACCGCCTCCAGCCCCCCTTCGAACCTCAACCCGCGCTCCTGCATGACCTGCCGCCGCCGCAAAGTCCGCTGCGACAAGCGGCAGCCGTGCTCGAACTGCGCGCGCGCACGCATCGAATGCATCTTCCCCGGCCCGGGGCGCGCGCCGCGGCGGCCGCGCAAGCCGGCGGATGCGGAGCTGTTGGAGCGGTTGCGGAAGTTGGAGGGAGTGGTGCAGACGCTGGGGACGCAGGTGCAGGAGGAGACGGGGGTGAAGGTGGATTTTGTGGACGAGAAATCCGGGGAGAGTGGTGGGAAGGATGGGGAGGAAATGAAGGTGGAGAAAGGATTGTCGTCAGATGAGAGGGTCGCGAAGGCATATAAGGAATTGAAGGAGGCAAAGAAGAAGTGCGCGGATGCGAAGAAGGAGTGTGCGGATGCGAAGGAAACGCATAGCAAGTATAACGGGTTGGAGGCCCGGTTTGGGAGGCTGGTGGTGGATGAAGGACGGAGCAGATATGTGACATCGAATTTCTGGGCGAATCTAGGACAGGAAGTATGTCGATAAGCTGATCTTGGTGTTATTGTTCTATTCTAAACGTCCGCACAGGTTGAAGATATCCGAGCGATCCTTAACGAGTCCGAAGAAGAGGAAGAAGAGGAATATTCTCCTGGCAGCTCTCACCAGTCCTCTCACCAAGGCTACATATTCGGTTACAGCTCCAAGTCGAAAGATTTATCAGACCTACATCCGCCAGCGGACTTGATACCTGTCTACTGGGAAGTATTCAAGGAGAACATTGATCCCCTGCTGAAGATCCTCCATGTCCCGACGATGGAACAGGTCATCCTCGATTACAGAGACAACCTCGACACCTTGAAACCCGGCTGTGAGGCGCTTCTATTCGCCATCTACTACAACTGCGCGACGAGCACCACGGACGAGGAATGCCGAAACCGACTACAAGGCGAGAAGGCCGAGTTGATCCCACGTTATCGATTCGCAGTCGAGCAGGCGCTGGCACGCGCGAATTTCCTACAAAGCGACGAGATTATAGTGCTGCAAGCATTCGTCATGTTTCTAGTCGCCCTACGGCGGAATGACGATGCGCGCGTGATCTGGACGCTCGTAGGCCTCATCGTTCGCATGGCCCAATCGCTCGGTCTTCACCGCGACGGGACGCACTTCAACCTCAAGCCGTTTGAGATTGAGATGCGGCGACGGCTGTGGTGGCAGACCTGCATTCTCGATATCCGAGCTGCCGAAGACCACGGTTGCGACCCCACGATCACAGAGCATATGTACGACACGAAATGCCCCCTTAATATTAACGACAGCGACCTCCACCCCGACATGACGTCCTTCCCCGACGAGCGGATCGGTTGCACGGACATGACCTTCAGTATCATCCGCATCGAAATCACCCGCATGTTCCGCCGCCTCCACTTCATCCCCGCCAACCTCAAGCGCTGCCCCCGCATCTACTCGGGCATCGCCCTCGAGAAGCGCGAGCAATGGATCACCGAACTGCACCAGAATCTCGAAGACCGCTACCTTCAACACTGCGACATGTCCATCCCACTCCACTGGGTCATCGCTACCGTCTCCCGCCTCACCATCGCCAAGATGTGGCTGATCGCCTACCACCCCTTCCAGCGCCTCGACGGCGGCAAATCCCTCCCGCAGGCCACCAAGGACAAGCTCTTCGTCACGAGCCTTGAGAACGTCGAGTACGCCCTTCTGCTCGAGAAGGAGGAGCGCACCCGTAAGTGGGGCTGGCTGTTTACGACTTACATGCAGTGGCACGCCATCGCGTACCTCCTCACCGAACTCTGCGTCCGCACCTCCGGCGATACTGTCGAGCGCGCCTGGCATGCCGTCGATGAAGTCACCCAGCGCCGGTGGGGCGAAGACGTGTACGTCGAGCGAGGATCGTCGAATCTCTGGAAGCCGTTGCGGAAGCTGATCCGGAAAGCTCGAGCGGCGCGCGAGCAGCATCGGGGATCCCGGAAGGGTGCGGAGAAGGATCTGCAGGCGTCGGTGGGTCTTAGGGGCTTGGAGTTTGAGGATGTCGCGGCAATGAATTTCTGGCCGGAGTCGGGCGATCTAGAGACGGCAGGGACGGCGCCGGCGGTGGAGGATATTTCGCCAGGGATTCAAGTTGACGCGGGGATCATGTCGGCGAAGGCGTTGACGGAGCAGCAGGCA